TTTTTCTTTCTGTATTTTGTTATAACTCATACAGTACATTCCAATAGCAAGTACACTATAAGAGCCACTGTATTTTTTCATTTTTTCAATTCATATGGTTATGCTTGCCAATACTTTGCATTTACAGCATGAATACAAAAGAACAAGTAATAGGTTTATTCCATGCTGAAAAGAGAAGAAAGGAAAGACAACATTTCAGCCGTGGAGCCTTCTTCAGGTACCTTCTTTAAGCCTCACAGCTGAAGAAGGCTCCACGGCCAAAATGTCTTTCCTTTCTTCTCTTTTCAGCATGGAATAAACCTATTACTTGTTCCTTTGCAGCCTACGCATGCTGATGCAGCTACCCACCTGAAAAACTATAAATACAAAAGTGCCTAAAGTCTTGTGGTGTTCCACTTTGTAAAATAACAAAATGATGCATACACATTTTTAAACATAGTATTTTAGTCAAATACTGACTGCTCAAACTGAAAACTGCCAAGGGCAAGATAACATATAGTAAATGTCAGCAAAAACTAATGTGAAAAAACTGAAATACAGTATTTAAGCTCCATGAACTTAATATTTTATGGAAGTACATTTGGTAGCAAATACAGCTGTGTGTATTTTTGGGTATTTTGCTACCAACTTTGTAATCAAAGTGGACATTTTGGTGCAATTTTTGCCTGTTCTCCTTGGCATATTTGCTTAATTCTCATGTTGCTTGCGGATTGCTTATGTACAGCAGGTTTTAAGTCTTTCCACAGATTGTCAGTTGGAGTCTAGTCTATATTATGACTGGGCCACTCATGGATATGATTTCTTATTGTTAAGCCACTCCAGTATAGCTTTGGCCTATGCTTTGGATGATTGTACTGCTGAAAGGTGGTGTTTTGTCACAGTTTTTATGTCTGAAGCAGGTTTTCCTCTAAGTTTCACCAGTACTTTGCTCGATCTATGTTCCCATCAGTCTTAACAAACTTCCGAGTCCCCACTGATGAGAAACACAACAATAACATAATCCTGCCCTCACCATGCTTGACAGGGAGAGTAGAGACAGGGTTCACTGAGTGATGCTCTATGTTGGGTCTGTGTAAGCTGTAACACTTTGCATTCAGACCAAAAAGTTCCAATTTTGTCTTGTATAATGACAAAACTTATTGCCGTTTGTTTGCAGTAGAAACTACTTGTTTCGTAGCAAACCCTTATGCAAGTTTGGAGAATTTTTTAAAGTTCAATACGAACTCCCTTTGTGGAGTGATCAGGATATTGATAACTCAAGAACATTTTCTGTAACTCAAAATTACCTACTGTATGGCCTCACGGTGGCATCCTTAACCAGTTTTCTCTTTGCCTAGCTGCTGATCCCAGCAGGACAGCCTGTTCTAGGCAGCATGTAGGTGCCTTCCACTTCCTAATGATCACTTTCAAAGTGCTCAGGGTGATATTAAGGGTCTTTTTTAATGTTTTCGTATACTTTTTTCCTGGTCTCTGCCTTACAGTATATGGCTTTATCTCTGAATTGTATTGAAAGCTTCTTCGCCTTCATAGTTGAATTTTTACTTTAAATTCAGTATCCGACTGCAGTAATCTACAGGGCCAGATGTAGTTGTTCTCAAATCATGTGAAACAAAATGATAACGCGTACAGAGGCTGCTCAACTAAAAGTGTGGATGATAAAGCAAAAAGTTTGAATATTTATGCAATCATGACCATAATGATTTTTCTTTTATGTCAATGCTCTACCTACTTCTGGAGTGGTTTGTGTATGTAACAAATAATAAATTAACAATACCTTAAAAATTGTAATGACTGCTAGGTTTAGAGCAACAAAATTTGAAAACTCTGCAAGTACTTTTGCAAGGTACTGTATACTGTATATGATCTTGGTGCCATTGACCAAAACAACCATGATAAAACATTTCAGTTGTGAATGATATGATTTCATATCACATGAGTAATATGGATCAAATCCATAGTTTAGTAAAACATCATATACCCCAAAAATATAATTTGATTTAATAATATATTCACTTACAGTCATTAAAACATGATTTGTAAAGATTTGAATAAATATGCCAGGTAACTCTATCAGCATACTGCTTTCATAAAATGTTTATACCAATTTACTCTTTCAACTATTCATAATCTTTCATGGAGCAATGTGAATAGACTGCTTTAGTTTGCATACTACTTGCAGGGGTAGTTTAAATAGAGCCTTTGCTGGCTTCCACTTAAAAAGTACAAGAAATCTTCAAGTAATATAGAAGCTTATTTATAGCTGAAAGTAAAAACAGTGGCATGAACTCAAGTAAATATTAATCTGCTCCCTTAAGTGGATTGCTGGAATTGAAGCTCTGTGCTGCTACTATCCCATGTTTTTAGAAAAGAAAAACATTTCCCTCTGCTTCCCTGCTTGGATGCAGCTATCTCATGGAGTTTGAGTTATCTTTGATCTGTGTTGTGAAGAATCAGACAGACCAAAGTCGTTTTATGCATAGCAAATACGACATGCTGAGCAGCTTCATGGTTAATTGATTAAAAAGATTCGGGCGAAGGTATCAGATCAAAGCCCAGCCTAATGGTTTTATGTTACTCTAGAGGGCTGTCAGTTCATTTTTTGACAAGTTTGACCTCAGGCGGAACACAGTGTATAGCATGTAGCTGAAGCTGGAAACTGGTCATCTTTTATTCACAAACGCAAAATGCTTTAACCAGAATCTGTCCCTTCCTTAAGCTAAGGAACTCTCAAAATCCCTCAAGGTCAGAACTGTTTAATTTACAACAGTGTAGTGTCTTGTTCAACTAAAATTAAAAAACACACACTATGGAGTTACAGCAAAATACCCAGAATTAAATATACTTATACTATCTTTAGATTATAATAAACTTTGTATTCAGTTGGAAGACAACATGTATTGTACTTACACACATGCTGTTTTCTTTATATATATGAAAATGTGATTAGTTAAAACTTGTAGTCTTAGCAGTGTTTTTATGCCTTGTGGAACTGCCTGTATGTGTTTTTTTTTACTGTTCCTTTGGTTTATATTGCCTGTTAACAAATTCCTGGATTTACAGCACATGCAGACTAGCATAGATTGCCATCTAGTGGATCATGTTGCATGTTCACTTAACAGACTACTGTGAATGTCTCTTAATAATAAATAATAAATTAAAAAATGTTATTACTGCTTTCGGGTTGATGTTATCCACAAGAACGTACAGCCAATGAGACAATTGTACAATACATACGTTTCCAAGTTTGTCCATAGCCATTCCCTCTGTACCAGATTTTTCTGGATCTAAGTTTGTTATATCAATTTACTAAAATTATTTTTTGGGCTTTGGGATGTGGACTAGGATTATTCAAGACTCCTGTCCTAAAGCTTTTCTCAGAATTTAGTCTGCTAGCCTGATCATTAGCTTCCATAGTGTCAAACATGTGCCGAGGGAAAAGGTAGGAAAATAGACCCTGAGCAGAGTCAGAAGGCGAGAAAACTGAATTCCTAAAGCGAACGTAATTCAAATCGTCAGGCTAGAATGAGGTCGGAGATCAGGAGCAAAGGGTCAGAAGCCCAGAGGGTCACAAGAAAAAACGAGAGGTTGGACTAAGTCGCAAACTGGATACATAGTTCTGGTTGAGGAAACCTTAATAGTGAGTGAGGACAAGTTGCAGAGTGGGAGTTTAAATACACAAGGCAAGTGACGTTAATTAGTGAGTGATTGGGTGCTTGTGGAAATGTGACGGTGTTTGTGACACCCAGGATGCCTGAGTACTGACAGGGGGTGCACTCTGGTCCATTGTTGCACCTGGATACAATTAATTAAAAAGTGATCAACTCTAAATCACTTTAGGATTGGTCATGGTCCATTTCTTGCTAACCTCTATAGATGGAGAATCAGTGCAAGCCCTCTTTGTTCCTGTGGGATGGAGCAAACTAGGCAGCACATCCTAGAGGACTGCCACAGACTCAGGAGAACTACACACTCTCGACACAGATGAACCAGAAACTCTCATGGATTTTGTATTCACTAAATTAAATCAAAATTATTAATAGCTGTAATAATAATAATAATAATAATAATTGCTTACACTTATATAGCGCTTTTCTGGACACTCCACTCAGTGCTTTACAGATAATGGGGACTCCCCTCCACCACCACCAGTGTGCAGCCCTACCTGGATGATGCGACGGTAGCCATAGTGTGCCAGACCACTCACCACACATCAGCTATCAGTGGGGAGGAGAGCAGAGTAATGAAGCCAATTCATAGATGGGGATTATTAGGAGGCCATGATTGTAAGGGCCAATGGGAAATTTGGCCAGGACGCCGGGGTAACACCCCTGCTCTTTTCGAGAAACGCCCTGGGATTTTTAATGACCACAGAAAGTCAGGACCTTGGTTTTACGTCTCATCCGAAGGACGGGTAAAACAACTCCTTGTTGCTTAGATCGTATCCCTTCCTCCTTGCTGAAAGCTTGCTTGCAAGACATCTGCCCTATTATTGTAAAAAATATTAGTAGTTCCCTTTTCATGGGTGTGGTCCTTACTGATTTATAGACTGCATGAATCACTAAAAAAGCCTGGCTTGGATTCTAATGTAATGATGAACTATACACTTATTTCCAAATTAGCATTTCTTTGAATGTGTGTTTGCACATCATTTACAGGCACACATGGTAACAAATGATCAGGTTCAACCATTCCAGTCTGGTTTTCATACTGAGACTCCTTGATCTTTGTGAAGCTTTTGTATCACTGTAGCCCAAATGGTTGAACACATTCTTATCAATGGCACAGTCTTTAAATGGTTTCACTCATATCTGACTGAAAACAGGTAATGTGTGACTTTTTATAATTATAATAATACTACATAACAATATGAGCCTATTAAATTTATCATTCGCCACAGACCGTCTAATCCAAAGTGCTACTGAACCGGCATCGAAAATTTCACACGACCAAACCTCCTAAGCATAAACTGATTTAAGAAGATAATTTGTCCCTCTCGCTTTTCCGTAGTACAAAAAAATCATAGCAACAAGCCGCTTGTCTCTTGAGTGTAAACAAAGAAAAGCAGTAAGCATCCATGTGTTGTGAATATATGTCTAGACCATTAATTTCGGTAAGTATTTTTTAATGCGTTTTTACACTGGTAGAATGCTCCGCGTGTGAATAATACTGACATTCAGCAGACTGGAAACGGGATTGTCTTCGATTCTCTGTTCCTTGCTCTGTTTTAATTTCCAATAATTCTTCAAAATCAAAGTAATTTGACGTTATTGTTTAACACTCTAAAATCAGAATATCGGCATGCTGTATTGTCGGCAGACTGCCTTAATTTAACCAGGGTTTGGATTTATACTGGATCTGTTTGGCGTTTTGTCACTGCAGTGTTCACAGGAACACTAGTAATAGGTGACGTACGTTTAATGTCGATCTTTTGATGCCACGGTGGGTGGCAACGTAGTTTCACAGAAAACTCTGAAAACAGTCCCGTTTTTAATATATACAGATAATTCTGAACTGTTTTTAATTATTGCATGCCACAGTCTAGGTACAAATTGACCTATTGTTATGTTCCAAATGAACTCAGATTCAGTTGTATACTCCATATGTTTTGATTTTTAAACAAAAAAAAAGAATACACAATTATTTGTTTTGATTAAATGGTTAGGGTATTTTGTCTATGAATAGGGCCTTCTGATAATTCCCAGTGTTGGAGCATCTACACATCAAGGATTATAACTTCAAAGGTTTCTCACTGTGTAGTTTTATGGTGTGATGAGATTTCATGACTTTTTGATAATCTACTGGCTGTTTTTATTTGTCACTGTAAAAGATTAGTACCATCACCAAATCTGAGAAGGGTAATACTTTTTTGAACTTCTAGCTTAAACTTACTTCTAGCTGAGATAGTTCCTACAAAATCCTCAGATGTGTTCAAGGTAAGTTTGTCAGATGCAGAATTGAAATTCGGTTTTCTACATACTTCTTGTGGAACCTAATTTAAAATATGATGACATTGTGGAACCTATTTAAAAATTTTTGATGACATTTGTATTATTGAATTGAGATTTTAACTGACTGTAATACAGAACTCCTGTGATTGTTTTGCAGGTTGTGATTTCTTCCAATTTTAAAACCTTGGAAGATGCATGTCTAATGGGCTCTCATAGCTTTCACTATTTTTAAGGAATTATCAGTCTTATTTCTGTTTAGGGTCCCCTATTTGTCATGTTGGTGTGGATGCAGTGTGTGGATATAGTATGTTTTTCTCTTATCCTTTATTCTGTTCTCTATCCTGATTGCTAAAGACATCCTATCTCGTCATTTCCATCTCCAAATATCTTATCTTCTATATATCTTCTAACTTTGTGTTCTTTGTCAGTGCAATTGATGGTATAATTCTTAGGCTTCACTAAGATGTATTTAAGCAGTCTTAAAACTGGGAAGCCCTCAGTCAAAGCAATATATTTAACAATGAATATATAACCATATATTATTTATTAACCATAAAAGGCATTCCACTCTTTTATCTCCTCTCCAGACAGTTGAAAATGTAAAGCTGGGCACTGAGGCTATTTTACTGCACGTCGCACGAGTTTGAACTCAAAGGTGAGTCTCCATATAATGTTGAGGACATACTATTGTTACTGGACACATAATGTTCTTTAAAAATGGTACTGGAAAAATAATTGGAATATCAGTGAGTTCAAAAGCCTATCATGTTTCTGTTTCTTGTAATAAATATACCATTTGGCAGCACTTATCCTGGATAATCCTGGATGGTTTTTTATTAGTTTTTCTTTATATTTTAGGGAAAACTTTATGAAAGCAGAATGTCCGCAACTTTCCGTGGGAAACCTGCAACACAGAAAGCTAAAGCCGAACCAGCACTAAGAGTGACTTTAGAATCCCAGGTTCCTGTACGTAAGCCTGTGGCAAAGCCCAGTGATCAACTCAACCCAAAGACGGTGGATCCTGTGAGTGTTTTCTTCTGCAAAGCTAAATCTGCTGTCTGTAGGTCTGATTTGTCAGAGTTTGCTTTAGTTGAGCACAGGGAATATTAGTTTGTGATCTTTGCCATTTATTTTTCTGTAATGGGAGATGGAAATATGCACTCTTTGCATGTTACCTTATCTGCTGCATGTCACAAACAGAGACAGCTGTCATTTTTGGAAGTAAGATTAACACATCAGGTTTCCTAGTTTCCTCACTGTGTTGATATTTGTTTTAAGACCACTGTTTTTATCAATGTGTTGATATTTGTTTTATAGATAGAGGACATAATGAGTTCTGGAGTGTGATTAATATATAAATATCTAAAATGAAGAGGTGGGTATAGAATTTAATACATGCACGCATGAAAGTGTCAACTATATAATTAGATTAACAGCTTTGTAGTGAGAAACAGCCATGATACCATGAAAGAAACCTTGTTTTTACTTCTTGTGCTTAAATTTCAGTTCTGTGGTCCAGGGAAGACACAGTCAGCATTTTCAGCAGTGTACTCCAAAGGGGGCATACCCTGCAGGTACAGTTATTCTTTTCAAATGATGTGTTGTAGAAGTACTTATCCTCATAAAAATGTATTTAGGTTCCTTAAATAAAGTAGATTCTTATTTCAAATTTCACTTTTCTGTGTTGCTAGAGCTCAAAACAAAGCTGACTTTAAATGTAAACTGTTTGGCTTTAGTTTCATAGTTCATGACTTTTGAAATTTGAAATGTATTGAAATTCATGTTATATTGCCACTTTATTTCATTTGCTTAGACTGGTTCATGGATCTGTCAAACACAAGTTGCGGTGGGAAATTCCTCCAGCATCCATTGATTTTGATCCTTTACTTGTGACACTTGCTGAGGTAAACTGTTATATTTGGGGGGACACTTGCTGAGGTAAACTGTTATTTTCTGGGGGGGGTGCTTGTTGAACCATCATGCTATAATAATGTTTTTGTTTTGGTATTTGGAAAAATCCATTCTATACAATTCATCTATAGCTACTTAGCAGCTAAACCTAAAAAGAAGGAAGAGAATTCTCTGATCTTCCTTTTTGTGTATGTCCTCTGGATTTCAGCCTTAGAATTAAACCTGAGTAGGTTGCACAGCTGTTAAACCATGTGTATGGAGACCCACTCAGGCAGTCTCCATGCTGCTTCATGAAGTACATGATTAGAGAGCTTGATGTAGCACAGAGAGGAAATTGAATAATAGTTGATTCTTTTTCCAGTGGGAATAAAAAAAGCATTCCTGTTAGTATCTAGCTACTATTAGAACCTTGGCAATTATGGGAATAAGCCTACCTTAGGGATTTCCTAGTCTGGAAAAACTGTTGATTTTAGAGTAATTGAAAAAAGTTATTTATTCTGTGGTGATTGCCAAGAATTTTATGTATTTCTTGTCTCAGTATCTTTGAATGATATTTTTTGTGGTCAAAGGAAGAGCAAATCCAAATTATTCATGATAATTATGGTCTCACTGTACCTGGATAATGTCCTTAAAATATAACAATGTTGGCCAAATTTGTAAGATGAGATATGCAATATATCATAAGTGAAGGATTTAAAAAGCCAAAGATCTTTCCTGTTCTTGAGCATTCAGTGAAACTGCATGATTTATGTAACATGTTTAAAACAAAACTTGGTCGTGACTTTAGTCACTATGTCAAATAATGTATTATATATGATTTGAATATCTGCCTGGAATAAAACATAGCAAATGGGATTAGTTCAAAGAAAGAAAGATACTAGGTCTCCCTGTATTGCTTTGGCAGCTGTTAAATATAAAATGTACAAACAGAAGAACTCTTCCAGTACTATCTACATTTGCTATGTTTGTTTTATTCTATAGTTTAAGTCAAAAATCTTTTTATTGCTTGGACTCTAAAACTAGGGATAAATGAAAGAATATTTTCTTTTCTTTCAGGGGCTGAGAGAGACTAAACATCCATACACGTTTGTGTCACAAGAGGGCTTTAGAGAGTTACTCCTTGTTGATGGTGCAGCTGAAAAGGCTATACCCTTGCTTCCAAAACTGGTGCCAGCACTAAAAACAGCTCTGGTGAGATGTGAAAATTAAGTCTCGGAGGAGGGGCAGCCTAAGTTTCATCACACACCTGTTTCCCTCTTAGCTCATCAATTACTCAAAGCCTTTATAAAGGAAGACATCACCACTTACCTTTGCAGTTTTGTGTGTTGTACGTTTTGTCCCTGTCCCTGAGTAGTCCTTTCTTCTCAAGCCATCCAGTAGCTGGTTACTTCAAAGCATGTGGGTTTCAGTCCTGATGTACAGTACTTTACATTTTCACACCATCGCTGCTCAAACAACGAACACTTTTTCACCTGTCCTGACCTCCTGATGTTGTTCGCTATATATTGTTCTATAAATATTTATCTTCTGTAACAGATATGAAGATCTCTATAGTTTACAAAAGATTATATATTCCATACCATGGACAAAATATAACAACTTTTTATGTATAATACTATATGTATAATATTTTACATACTGTTTATATCTACATACTGTATGTTGATTTAATTTTTTTTCTTCTGTTCCTCCTTTAAGACACACAAGGATGCTGAGGTCTTTGAAAGAGGGTTGAATGCCCTGGTTCAACTAAGTGCTGTTGTTGGTCCTGCTCTGAATGACTTTCTTAAACATATACTCACCAGTGTAAGATTTTTATCAAAATTATAACGTTGGTAACTGCTGAAATATACTAGATGTATCTTGCAGAATGATTTGAAAAGAAATGCTTCACAAAACTAGTAAAAACATCAATAAGTTTATTTTTATATCTTATATATAACTTTTAGTGCAGGTATTATTTGCCTTTCTAAAGACTAAAGTGAAGATTAGTTTAGTTTTGCAAAATGCTATGTAAAATCAGTCTAAAAATATGAAATTAATAAAGTAATTTAGTTTGAGGATTTTGGATTTAACATGAACTTTAGGATGTTCTACTTCTAACATTTCAAAACAATATTATACTGTATTTTTAGCTTTCAAAGAGACTGATGGACAAGAAATACAAAGAGAAGGTGATCAGTGCATTACAAAGTCTAGAGGAGCATGGGGGAAAGGTAAGCCATGTGACTAAACTTCCATTATTACACTCATAGATTTGTAGAATTTGTCAAGAGCACCTATGTTTATCTAAAGTGCCTGTATCATGTATCACCACAATGGTTTGTGTCATGTTTCTTTTTAAAATTCTGCAGTACACAAACTTATTTTTCATATAATGTTCAGGGGGTTATGTGAGTCATTTTTAACTTAATTAAAGGGAAACTGCAATGCCATTTGCATATTTTGGGGTTAGAAAGAATCAGCACTGATGAGTGCATTTCAAACTGCAATAAAAGTAAAATGTACACAGTAACTTGTAAAACCTCCAATTTGCATCACAAAAGAGATTACATTTCCAGGTATGTGCAGGACCATGTTCTGTGATTGAGAATGAGGCAGCAAAACGTCCGGTGACGTGTGTGGCCCTATGGCATTGTAAACAAGCAGGCTTGTCAATCTCTTCTAATCTAATAGAAATATTGCTCTCAATTTTGAGACAAATAATACTTACTCATTAACTCTGCATGCAGATCACATGGGGACATTTCTGCAGTGAAATGTCTGCTGCACAACCTGTATTTGATTGCTCGTTTATCACATTACGTTAGTCATTATGGAGACTAGTGAGCAGGAAGGGGCTAATGAGCAGGAAGGGGCTACTTCACGTTGCAATTTGTGGAAACTCGAATGCGAGTTTGCAACAACATGGCGGCTTACATTAGTTTCACAAAGTTCACGATTTTGTGCTTAATTTGAAATTTGTCATTTTTTTCTGAAACGTTAATGAATTTATATTGCTACTGAGATTTAATCACCAGTCTGAGAAATTGGAACTGCAGTTCCCCCTTAAGTTGGGAGAAGTGCTGTACATAACCAGAGTACTGAGTCAATTCAATGATTTATACTATATATTAGTCACAAGCTATGAGAAAACCTTGGATTTCAAACATAAGTGGTGCTTTCCCAGTGGCTCAGCTGGTAGAGGCATTTTTCATGCACAGGTTAAATTTTATTCATCATTCTCCACCGTAAAAAGTATAAAAAGAACATATAGAATTTCCTATTAAAAACTGAAATAGAAAAATTGTAGAAGTAGATGTCACTAGACTTTTGCATGTTTTTGTAATTTGAGTAGTGGAAAGGATATTTTTTCTTACTGAAATGTTTTGGAAAGTAGTACAGTAGGCAATTCAAAGTGTTGTTTCTGTTTCAGGCAAGTTTTGCTGTTATAAAATCCAAAATTCCAACTTACAGCTCTGTTTGCTCTTGATGGACATCTGGGATGAACTGACTGATATTTTTGGAAAATTCCAGGCTGCATTGTGACTGGTTAATTTTTAACACTTTTTTGGGTATTTTTGTCTTCATGTTTTGTTGAGCTGAAATGTATACTGAATTGTTTTGTTGTACATTTAGGATATCAGCTTTATCCTAAATGATTACCTTCCCATAGAAAGGATAGAAGAGTTATATGAAAAATAGATATGAAAGAGGATAAAGTTTAGTATAGTTTGATACTGATTTGCACTGTTTGTAAATAGTATTTTAATAACATAAACACAACAAAATGGTTTATAATATTTTTTAATCCATAAACCATGTTATTATTCTTGCAAGAAATAAAATCTTAGAATAACTGTATATAATCATACATTGCATTACTTATAAAACCCAAAACACACCATGTATATTAGCAGAATGTGAACCCATATTCTCTCTACCCATAGAATCTAGAGTAGACCAATGTTCCTAAAACATTTTGGCCTACGGAATGCTCAAACGATTCTAAAACTTTCACAGACACCTCTGCTCCCAATAATAATAAAAATACTTATAGTGCCATAATATTTTTAAAATGTAGCTATTCGGGTTCCTTTTTAAGGAGAGCATTTAGATATTTTTCTACTATTACATTTAACTCATTTTCTGACCTGTTTTGATTAATAGTGCTATTTCTGATGAAACACCAACAAAGGGAAGTTTCTTTAAAATGGAGAGCTTAAATCTCATATTTGACTCCATGTTCAGCCAGGGTTTGTCTTATTTTGCTTACAAATCTAGGAAGTGTTAAAAATACAGTTTTGCCTTTGTAAGTTGTTGTAAGTGCTTCAGAGCTATGTCAATGAGCCCAGGGTACTCTGTACTAATGCACAATTAGTAAACTATCAATCTTGATAGTAATCTATCACGTTTTCTCACTGAATATCAGCTCCATATGGCCTCAAGATTATCCACCTCTTTCGGTGGATGCTCAACATTGATCTCCTTCTTTCCAAACGGTGTTCTGATCCAAGTAAAGCCTGCATCTGATTCTGGGAAATAATAAAATACTCTGCAATCCACAGGCGCATCACAGTTCCATGTGTTAAGCTATTTACTTTATTCTGGACATTAAAGTTGCTAAAAATATTCCCTGGAAATCAGAATATGAAAAATATCAGATAAGTATGCTGGTTGAGCAAACAATTCACCCATTCACCGGTGGGTTGATTTTCGTCTCTTTGCATAGTTTGAAAATGAGGGAGAGTGGGTTCCTCTGTGACAGCCAGGTGACATCAGTATGGAAAATAACTTTTATGTGTTCACTGCCCATCATTTCATACAAGGCTTTAAAAATGCAAATATATACTGTATGTCAGATATACAGGTATGTGTGTATACCAGACACATTATATAAGGTTAGTATTATCCACTATATTAGTGGATTTGTTCATTTGGAGAGAAAAGTATTGGCTCTGATGCTGTCAGGCCTATGGATTTGATTTCAGTTTTCACCTTGAATTTGATACTAAATGGTATCCTTTAAAAGAGGTATCTTTTACCTGAACTCATTTTCCCATTTAGCATCATGAGTTCAATATTATTCTGTCCAACACAAAAGGTGAAGACATAGGCATTATTTCTGGATTGATCAGTAGTTGTACTGGCCCACAGACTGTCTGGAGGACCATCCAGGGTCTTGATAGTGGTCCCAGTAAAACACATTGGGAACTACTGGTCTGGAAGAAGAATAGTAAACAAATAGAAATAGAATAGAATAGAAAAAATAGAAAACAAAAGAAATAGACTTAAGGATATTATTAAAGAAAATGATACCTCTGACCCTTTTCAAAAGATCGCAAAATTACAAGTTGGCATTGGTGGTGTCACTGTGGAAGTGTCCAAACTATAGTGGTGTTTCCTTGACTTACTTTGTGTAAGTAAGCTTTTACTTTATTCTGGACATTAAAGTTGCTAAAAATATTAATTGTGCTAAAATATTAATTATCCCTTAATTGTGAGAAAATTCATATAATTGTTTGGGTGTCATACGCAGTGGAAAGTAATCAGTAACAGTAATTTTACCTTATTTTGTCTTATGAGCATAACACAAAGGTCTCCGTGTAGAGATTCTTTCTTAATACTGCTTATTATGGAATATTGTATGACTTTTGTTGTAAACTAAACTTAGTTTCCGTACGATTTGTTTGATCAATAATGGGTTATCCTCTCTGAAGACGTGTTACTTTGTAAAAAGTAAAAAGTTGTTTTGGTATTCAGAAAAACACATTCTAAAACAGTAAAGACAGGATAGAAATCTGCAGTACTGAAATGTGTTGCATTGTGAGCTATAGAATTTTTGCACCGCTAAGTTTCATCTGGGAATAAACAAGGCAAATTATGTGATGAGCTGAAATATTTATGAGATCTGTTGTGTGGGTTGGGTTTTCTCTGTGTGTTTTCTGCAGATAATTTTGAATTAGTTGTGATGTGGATTACATGATCATCCTGCACAAGTTTATCCCCAATGAAACTAAGATTGTCATAGCACTGTCACCACTAGATGTCGCCCTTGTTCTATACGGCCCTTTGGAAATGCTGGTGAATCAGCTTAGTTCACATTTCCACTTTACATTTGTTCATATAATGTAAAACCTGTTTCCAAGATTGTAAATTTATGCTGGTACAGTTTAGAGCTTTTTCCCAGCATGCAGTCTATAATTAGCATGGTGTGCCATTTATAATCCAGTGCAGACCTGTTTGTTTTTCTTGTTCTTTATAAAGATAGTGGGGCCTTCTTGAATGCAATTACAGTAATTACATATTAGTCTTAATATTGAGTGATATTGGATATGTGGATTTCATTGTGAAATCATAAAACTGTAGAATTAAGTTTTAAAAAATTTATGTGTGACCAACTTGAGCTTTACAATGTAAAAGTAGGTCACAGCTGTAAAACTGTTTATTCTCTAAAAACAAAGCAAAACAAATCTGTCCCACCACAACTGAGCCATGATTTTCCATTTTTAGACACTTAATGGTGCAGTCGCTATGGCAGTAAAGTGTAGTACCACATATTCAGAAATGTGATCTCTTTATCAAAACTTTCCAACCAGTACACATCTGTACTTAAGGTAAATAAAACACTGAGATTGATTTTATTGGCACTTATTGATGTCAGTGGGCTATTTCTTTTGTGTTCAGTGTGTCCCTCATTCACATCTACTGTGTCTAGTCAAGAATATTTTAATAAGAAAATGGGAGTAACAGACTGTATACATCGACTCTTGAGAGTAAATATTTCCTGTGTGGAGAAGATGTCATATCAATAAATTAGATTGGTTAACACAGATTTTGCCCCACCAGTCCACTACACTACACAGTTTTCAAGCGTGCAGAATGGTGCATAGCCACGTATGACAAATTACTTGTTGGATAAAACCCATGTACTAATTTGCTGTATATCAATTATGAAAATAAATATTAACACAAATGCTAAACTTTAAAGACAAATGGGGGCTCATATCCCATGTATTTATATTGGGGAACTTAAGGTTTACACATGAATTCTGCAACGTTATTTATGTACAGCATCTTTCACCAGGATTTTAAAACTACAGTGTATCAGCTGAAAATAAAACATGCAGATACAAATGCTTTGGGGAAAAAAGGATAAACGGATAAACAGAGGCTTTAGTATGCAACGTCCTGGTTACATATAGGTCTGCATTGCTGCAGGTGCCATGTGGAAGATATCTGGCAGTGTGGTTCCTGAATATGGCAGCAGTACAAAATTATTATTAGTTTCAACCAGCAACATGGCAGAAGGCACAAGAAGTCCATAATAGCATCATCTCTCCCATGCAGCTGCTAAGGTGAGAGATTTCTGGGGCCACATGTTGTAAAGCATGACAGATGTGGGATTTCTATGGTAAGTGTAACATCTGTTGTTTTACAGAATGCTCCATTGATGTATATTGAGAGATGCTGCAGATCCCCATTTCATTTTGGTAGAGGCTATTAGCTACCATACTGTGCAGGGGTTAATTAGCACCTAAAAGAAAAAAAAATCCACAACAAAGCAGCTGAATTTCATGCCCCTCCAGTCCACTACACTACACAGTTTTCAAGCTTCCAGCTCCTTAGTTATTTAATTGATAAGTTTCTAGACTAAAATGAAAGCATTAGATGCTTCCAAAATATAAAGGAAACGAATCAGCTTGTATTTCCAACCAGACTACCAATGTTCCAAAATGTCATACTGTAAGTAATAAGGCATCTGATTACTTTTTATTTTGCAAGCCAAGAAATATTTTGGTCCCCTGAACAAAAATCACTTTAAGGGTGTTGTCAACCTGTTAAAATATAACAAAATAATACAAGGTTTGATGGAAGGTTTTATTAAAAATCAAGTGTTTCCCCATTAAAAAAAAAACTTGGGGAAACGTTTATATTTCAACAAGTACATTTCTGTAAATTTGATAAAAATGTTCAAAACACTGGACAACAAGAAAAAAAAATGTCCTATGTTGGCAAAGATCATTTCCAGTGCATAGTAAAATAAGAAAACTAGTGGCCAAATAAAGTTGCATTTTTATTTCAGTAATACAATAGGGATGTTAGTTTAATCCTAGTTTGATGAGATATTTAACATTTAGTAATCAACACTTCCTTTTTAAAAATTATTTTTTTGCCATTTAGCATTTTACCAGTTAAACCAGTTTGTAAAATTAACAAATTACCTAAGGGAAAACCTTTAATTCTATGATAAATCGTAAATGCTTGCAGACCTTTCAACTCAAAAAGACAAAAGGGGAAAGAAGGGTAGTTGATACTGGATGGAGATGTTAAATGGTTCTCTTCAAAGACAGTCATGTTTCATTTTTAAGCTAGGTCAAATTACTACCATTCTGATGATAAAAACATTTTAACTTTTTGTGGATAGTAGAAAAAATAAAATCTTTGCAGGTGACAGTTTTAGCCCCACAGATATAACAAAAATAGAAATTCTTATTTTTAATGCAATAAAATGCCTCTGATGAGGGCACTAGGACTTCCTCGAAGCAGCCAGCATACACACCTTTGCAAAAATTTGTAATTAAAAAAATAATAAAATAATAAAAATAGAACCTTCTCATCACTGACATGTAATACAAAAAATGTTTTACTTAAAAATAGTTACACTATTCTCTCCATCCTTGGTAAAGTGTGTCTAGCCAATAAGAAATTGCAGGCCCATGTCCACTCTCTGGAAGATCCCTACTTGATAACTAAATGTTGATGTTCCCTCATAAATTAAAGGGTAAAAAAAGAAAAGAGGGTTCTTGACTCCCCGCTCATTTCTATCGTGGAGGGAATACCCCCCTGTGAGGTCCACCGCGTCCCCTGAAACCCCCTCTGTCACCACGGAAATTGGGCCTGTTCCGCTCCCTCCCCCGGTCTCCACGTCCTGCTGATACCCCTCCCCTTCCTCCTCCTCTTGGGGCTCCACCGCCTCTTTCTGATTTGGATTTTGGAGGCGGGGATTTGGGACGAAGTCTCTCGATCTCTTCCGTGCACCCTGTCAAGTGTGAGTTGGGCACGTTGAAGTTCGACACATATGCTTCAGCATTAAAATTGCTGTTGGTTAATGTTGGCCCCACTGTCAGCCAACCTGTAGAAATAACAGATAATGTATTAGTAAACACTGGTAAATGAAACATTGAGAACCTACACTTTATTCTGTTTAAATAGCACCTGAATACCACAACAAAGCTTAATCTTTGTAATCGGTGATGCTGTTTTAGCTCTAAATGGTTATGTTGTGTTTTCACTAATACAATTAGTCTACTTCCACTCATAAGCCTTTTATTTCAAGTGGTTTGGAAATTGACACAGTAAAATGTAAAATATACTGGGGTAAGCAAACTATGTTTTTGTTAAACGATTTTAACAAAGATTTTAACAAACTGTTTATATTCATAAAATCACATTTGATTCAAAGAACATAATGACTGCGATAAAATGTCTAACTTTAAAAGAGTGATTAAAAAAGTCATACTAAAGATATTTCCCGCATATCATTGCCTAGTAAGTTTAGAGATATGACGTGATTTTGGAAATCACGCGGAAAGGAGTATTTGATTATAACACCAGGATTATTTTTCTTATTTCTTCTGAAAAACATATAGTTATTCCTTAGAGTTGTCTTGCTGAGGCAATTCTAATTTCTAATAGTATCCACATATTTTTATGGAAAATCAGAGAAAATTATCATCAAATACTCCTTTACAAATCCATGGGGTACGGTTGTTGTAATATTAAGAGTTGTTTACCACTGACATTGTTAATGGTACGTTACATACTTATTTTCAGTAGTTTCTCTGATTCTACTATAACTCTAGTCGAGAAGGAAGTCTAGCCTTGATTATGTTTTTAATTCCATTACTACCATTAGACATGCTTTGATCTTTTTTTTTGCAAGATTGTCTTAAGCTGGTTAAGTAAATATAGAATGTCTTGTCACAGCAATGTTTTAAGCAAGTATTGAGGATTCTTTGACGTTTTAGATGAAATAGCAAAGGGCAATCGAACATGCTAAACATGTTTCATAAGGCTGTGAATGTCAAGTTTACTGACTGTAAAGAAAAAAATTTACAACTTATAAGCACCTGTCATATTTTGAATTTTACATTGTCATCTTGCCAAGCAAAATTAACCTCCAATATCTTGTGAAAAAAGACAAAAATCTGCATGTTGTTAAATTGTTCTGTTACACTGTTCAGTGTTATTTCTAGTTCTTTGGCTCTAATAAAACAACAAAACAAGAATTGTCATTACTTTATTTTGTAAGAACTGAATATGCTTAACTAATAATGAAATCAAACTACGAGAGAGTCTCCATATATAAACATGCAAAATAGTTTGTGGTATATGCATGTACCGCGGTTTTCCAGAGGCGGTAGCCATCCCTACTAGCTAGCCAGTCAGTCCAGCAGATGTTCCGATCGAAGCATGAGCTCTGGTAATGAGGCAGCTAACAATGAAAAGTTTTCCTAAACCGCTTCAAGGTTCTGTTTTATAATAGGTGACACCCTGCACAAATCTAGAGTGAATTATGATGACCTTGTTAATGTGGTTCTCAGCCTGAAACAACTCCAGATTAAAAACTAAAAAATTTCAAAATACATATTGATAATAGTAAGGACAACTGTAGTTATTCAACAATGAATCAGTTTAAAGATTAAACTTAACTATCAGACAAATATTTAATGACACAAATATTTAAACTAATACTAAACAGCAAGTGATTAATTAAGTGACGCTTGATAAAACAATGTTTAAATCTTAAAATGTAAACAAATCTAGTACCAGATCTAGAACTTCTTGCTTTCTCTCACATTACAACAACTACTGCTTCCATTAGACATTCTCTCTTACCTGGTCTTATCGTGCTATCTCTTCCAAAAAGATGGAGCCGTCTTCGACCAAGACAGAAATGTTCAATAATGTGAAAGATCTCCACAGGTTTCTCAATGTTTCCAATTTCTGGTTCCTCTGTAATAATCAGGTCAATATCCACATTAGCGTGGATGAAATCTCCATCGGTGCTTCGCCTTACTGTTCCTTTAATTCCCATGAGGCAGTGTTCCTAAAAGAAGACCAGAAAAGTTAACTTTTGAACCAACTTATTTCTAAAGTGATAAATGAACATGGATAAACGTCAGACTCCCCTTAGGAAGTGGTACAATTGCAATGAAAAAATTCAAACAGTTTTCAGTTTGGGCTATACAAATACTGAAAAGGTCATTTCACTCCATGTGGAAAATAGTACAATATATTCTACTGTTGTCTAAAGCACCAGCTGCACTTTACTTAATGGCACATTAAATTAAATATGAACATATTTTTCCTCCTTTACAAACCTTAAATTAAATTCAAACCTAGTACATACTACTTTTTAAATAATATTTAGTGTCATTATAAAAAACATAGTGACCACAAATGCTAAAACCTACGTTTTTTCTTGCCAAGTTGAATAAAGAGTTAGTGGAGTAATATGACACCAATCAATGGCAATACGTGTTCCAAAAAGAACAAAAAAAGCCCTTTTACCCCTACTCCCTACGGTCTCTCAGCATGAGGATCATTTCCAGGACCCTTGCACTTCTCTCTTATCTGCATATCAATGTGCCTCAGGTTGAAAAAAGAGCATTCACAACACAATAAAAGACCTTAAGAATACAATTATTGATGGTGACAGCTCCACAAACTTTGGAGCTATACGCAGAAGTATAAAAGGAGTGTTTAAAACACTTTATATAGTCCTCCTTATTTGCATACAATATTTGAAAAGCACCCTTATTATTTTTCTTTTTACTTGAACAAGATTTGTACCTTTGTTCTCTGGAAGACTGCCTTGGGGTCCAGAGTTTTTGTTTTCCCAGGATTATTCTTGTTGGTTTTGATCCAGCAAATGTCTTCACATCTTCGGAAGCCCCATTTTCGTAAACACTACAAGAAAAGACATTTTCACAGTGAACCACGGACAGATTTAAATGAAATAACACACCATTTAATATCCAGCTTGTTCATTGAAAATGTGAAAATATTATGAATATGGAATATAAAAAAAAAGAGTTAATGGTCTTCCAATCAATGGCCAAACACCTACACTAAATGAGTAAAGGTAATAATTATACACAAAATATTAAAAATACAACAGTATTATTTTGGCAAGTGGAATCTAACCACAAATCCACAGACTATTGTTGGCCTCTTCATTAAAATAACCAGAAAAGGCTACTTAGGAGGAAATGTAGCATGAAGAATGTTCATTAATCAATGTCGTATATTGACATCATCACAGAGAGAATATATGCAAATTAAACAATCCAGTATTTTCTATTACATTTTTTTTAAATGCACAACGTAGCTGAAACATTGAGACAGCACAAGAACACAACAGATAATTCCAGTATTTGGAAGCACTGAGGAAAGAAGAAAAGAAATACTGAAAAGGCACAGCAAAAATGCTGCAAAATGCTTATTTCTTACAATCTTACATTATTTTACAATATTTATAGCAGATTATTTACAAATCGTCTGGGTTTGCAGAACAAAGATTACATGAAATGACATGGGGCCCAAATCAAATGAGTAACACAGAAATCACAAAAGGGCATAATTCAGGACCATGAACTAAGCCTACTATACAATAAGCAAAACAAAAGTTGCCCTTCAAAATGCCTTTTGCAATTCAATCTGTAAATTACATGCTCACACACCACACACACCCACAGATCAAAATGAAACAGCTGCAGTTCCTTTATATAAGTAAAACAAGGATTAGTGCTAAGGCAGTGGCTCACTGGCTCAAGGGTATGGGACACATGGAGCTAGGAACTTACACTAATACTGTATAATGATGTGATTAATAAAACGTGCAGACAGGTCTCCACCACTGAATTTCATTTAATGTAAACAGCATTGGGGAAATGCTTAACTTGGCAGAAGAGTGACCTTGTATATTTGTTGCGTGGTGGACATTTTTTATCCATGTGAAGCACTTTGGGGTTCCTCACATTGCAGGCTGTACACTGCATTTATTATTATACCTTATAATTCAGCAAACAAATTAATTCCTGTTTTATTAGGAATAGTATATCATCCTAATAGTTGCTACAATTCTTGAATCATTAGTGCAGGACATGTACAAGCATTTAGAATCTGAACAGAACTTAGCTTAGGGTAATGTACTCAGAATCTTTGGAAAGGCTTTTCTTTCCATTCTTCAGAGTGAGAATAAAAGTCACTTGCTGGCTGTTAACACATTTCAATGGGGTTCAATGCATTGAGAGTGACGACGGCTGGTGCTGATACTGTACCATTCTACCGAGATCAAGGCCTTCACCAGATCCACACCACAAAAAGACAAACGATCTCAGTGCAGAGATTTCTTCAATTTCAAGTTTCATTATCTGCAAAGTAATATGAGAGGGAGTTACAAATTACTCATAATAACAAAACGCTGTATTTCTGGACCTTTTTGTAATAGTAGTGTTGATGGGTAAAAATGGCTATTTTATTTTTAACAGCAAAACATGAGTAACATATCATAGGTTTACAAAATACTTTATATTGGACTGCAAGAGAATGACTTTTTTAATTAATTAGACTAGAACGTTTTAGTTTTTATACATGTATGCAGTAAAAATCTACCTAAGCATCTTGACAACCCTAAACATTTATGGTTACATTTATTTTGCATGTAACTTATTTTCAGATGTTTTGGATTAACTCACATCATCCCAGGTCCAAAACTTCTCATTGGCTATGCTTCCCGACTCTCTGTAATATTCTTCCAAAGGTGGCTCGAGGAGAATCACATCAAATTTGCATTTTAGTTCCCTTAAGTCAAAATTTTCCAGATCTGCTTGTAGATACCTTTTAGAAATAAGCATGGCATTTTAAAGTGGAAGGAAACAATCTATATTTGGAACTAATAAAAGCATTTCAGTAACAAAGTGGGCCTGCAGATGAAAAATATTCCATTAATAAGGTATGCCTGCACACACACAAAATTACTACATCTCTATCGTAATGATTAATCTGACATTTTAAATTAGCTGATCACTTAAGCAAGTTGCTCTCAGTACTGGTTTTGGAATTCCTCTGTGTTTGCTGGTTTTTGTTTGGACTGGGCCCTTACTCGTGCTAATTGGTACCTGTAACTGATCTACTTTCTTTAGCTCGGTTTCAGAAAAGTACGTTATTCTTAGGTTCTTTATTTCCAACAACTCGAGCACATTTAACTTTATGCAGTCTCTCCTCAGCTTGCTAATAAATATGCCCCCTTGTTTCTGAGCACCTCTTGATGGGTGATTAATTGATGATGAACAGACACAGGAGGAAATTAAACTGTATTAGACAGCTCCTAGTTATTCAATGCTTTTCTCTCTGCTTAAGGTTATATTTAAGCTGGCACACCTGAATGAGGGCAGTACTAACACTCACTAATTAACACAGGATTCATACCAATTACAAATCTCATTCAGCTTTTCAAGAGCTGAACACAAATTAAAAAAAAAGACTTAACAAAGATGGAAATAAATTAGACTTGGATTACCTCAATTAACTGAAACAAAACGAAACAAGACAATAGTGTATACCAGAAATGAGAACCACTGATTTAAATACTTTCTAATATTAAATGCTCGATATGCATTCACTCATGACTATCATAAATTAGTACATTTTGCTTAAGCATTTCAGGAGCTGCGCCTAAACGTGTATAAAAAAGATAAATATTTTAATCTCTATCAATTTACTAAAACATTCTTTTATATATCAGCACTTGAATTTGTGTATTAAACTTACATGGGAGGGGTATTTGTTGTCGCAATCAATTCATCTTTCAATCTTATCAATTCCCTGAGTTTAGGATACTCTTCAAATCTATCAGCAAGACCTGAAACAACAGGACAAATGTAAATCCGAATCAATTTCATATACAATAGCCTCCAAATGTATTTAAATCCTCACCTGTAATTATAAGGTGATTTGTCATGAAAACCAAAATATACACTCCGATAGAAACAAACCCCAAGACCAAAACTAAAGTCATGACTTTCATTATCATATGTATAAATACATCAGTCAAAAACAGCTGTATATATTGCCGAATGAATCAAATGTATTCCTATTAGAGCAATCGGTATTTTGCAGTCCTTAAGCCTTTAACCAAGAGGAAGTGTTGCCAGTAGCATTTTAATTATAAGGTTTTTAAATTACTCCTGAAGGATATTTGGCCACTCCTCCATGCAGGACCTCTCAAGCTCTTAACATTTTCGTCATGTTGTATGATGTATGCTTTGTACTGCCTTAATGTAAAATCCACTTGTAACCATGCTTAAGCTTGAACAACAGAAAGCACCAGTTTTTTGTAAAAATATCCTGGTAAGCTTTGAAATCCACCTGTTCTGCCATCCTAACGGGAACACGAGGACGGTGCCAAATAACTCTTAATGCAGAACAAAGCCATTTCCACTTTTACTTGAAGAGATAACATTCAACACGAGCTTCATTCTTCCATGCTAATAATACTCCAGATGAGACAGTCCAAAAATGTAATTTACATTTCACACAACCACATCATGTGGTTCCCTTCAGCTGTGGAGTCAATTATTTTGTTTAGCAAATGTGTGTCTTTTTATGTCGCCAAAGAACGCTACCACACGCTCCAGATGCAAGATGTCATCTGCACACTGGGGTAAAATTTTCTTATATCCTGTTCCTGGTAAAGTGACAACCACCCACTTCAACATCTTGGATCTGGAGAGCACAGTTGAAACCAAGATGTCTTATGGAATTGATTAGGTCACTGATCTTTTAACTTAGATCTTGAGACAATGATCTCATTTTCACATGTTGAAATGATACAGAATGTTTACTTCTGTGTTCAATTTCCTTTGATACCTAAGATGTTTAAAGTTTAAAGCATTATATTTTCATCTTTGACACGGTGTTTATTTAGATATATCTAACATTATTTTGTGGTGAATTTGTGTAATGACAATCATAAATTTACCATGTTTTTATTCTGAAATGTTAAAAAAATCCTAATGCACATCTTTGCTTGATCAACTTGATATGAATACATTTTGAGGGTAAGGTAAAAAGAACAGTAATCCATAGGTATAATTTACATTTTATTGGCAGCACTGCACAAACCAAACATCAACATTATCAGTAAGTGTAACCAACTCGTTTTAAAATAGAAATATGAAAAAGAAAAATTAAAAAGCTATGAAGAGAAAAAAAATTATATACGCTTTAACTTCAGATATTTTACATATTACATACCTACATCGCGAATGAAATTTTGTGGTCTATGACCAGTATCCACAAAATGTTGGCAGTAGTCATTATGAGGATTCAGGCTTTGAGTTCCCTGAAACAAAAATTGGTCAACTTAGTGTCATCGGAGATACTATCATTTTTTCAAGTGACTAATACATTATGCTTATTAGCACTGTATATAGCAGTGAAACGCACAGCAATTTACAAGCAATGTAAGATATAAATAACAGATCTAAAATATATTTAACAGAATCTAGATGTTTTAATTGTACTACTTGTAAAGTGATAACACAAAACCCTCTTTGTACGAAGACATATTGTCCTTGAAACTAATCTGAGGAGCCCACCTTTAAAAATGTACTAGAATCCTTGTACACTTCTTCATATGGCACATTTTCATCAGGCTGCTGTTGCTCTACTTCATCCTTGCAAATAATAAAAGAAACTTCAAATAAAGGTAAAGAATGGAACATCAAATTAATGGAAGAACAAAACACAAATTTAAGGATTGTGATTTAGTATTGAGGAGTTGTTTTGGTATCCAGGGATCTGTCATATTCAAACTGCGCAGGTGGCTAGAAAGATGTAACGCAGCACATATTGTTTTCCTTATTATTTCTTATCCAAAAGTAAATTTTGTATGATATTTTTGCAAACGACCAACATTTTCTCAGAAGAAAAAAAAGCAAAGTCCAGTTAAAATACAAACACCCAAAAGCACTTGACATGCAACCAAAAAGCAAAACATGGCAAACACATTCTAGCTAAAGCGATTTTAACAAAATTCAGATTTTAACAAAACAACCCCAGTAAACCATGAAGGTGTTTTCCAGATTAGTCACTTTCTGTCTCTTGTCTATCTTTAAAATACATAACCAAAAGAAAAAGACTGTCAATGTTACCTTTTGCTCTTCAACAGCCTCCTCAGGGTCTTCTCCCTCATTCTGACACTTGCGTTTAGTAGAAGGTGAAGAAGTGTCATAAGAAGCCCTTGGCAGGAGAAAAATTCATCAGAGAAAATATTCTAGAGTCCTAGATCTTTGTAAACTAGACTCAGGGACAGTAAAGGAAGGCATTGAAACAATGATTACGCTAGTCTTGGCAGAAAGACTGTCTTAACATTCAGAATATCAAAGAATCAGGAAAAGGAACAGGTCACTGCATACAGAAATAAAGACATATATAGAGTATATATATATGAGAGTCAGAGTTCAGTTTACAACAACAAAGTTAAATAAAACAACTTGAATAAAACTCAGCATCCGTGTGAATCAGTAGATGTTAAATTCGATAATCTGACATCATGGAGGAAGAAAGAATGTTTTTCAATTAAACGGGTTAAATGTCAGACTAAAGAAATGCTCGGCTATCAATAAATATACTATTGATTAAAACATTAGGAAATACAAAAATCCAAACTTGTGAGGCTTATTCTAATATTTAAGAACAAAAAGATAGAATAATAATTATGTAGGACGATACCGAATTGGATCATCATATGCTCCTGCCAATATTAAGAACATGTTCAATAAACAAAATAGTATAGTTTTTGGACAATCATGTTAGATGTTATGTTCCCAAATAACGGTACAATAATAAACCTAACAAAGTACCTTTGGGTGCTTATTAAACTATTTATCCAAATGTAACCAAATATGTTTTTGTCAAACATATTTCTAGCCTGGCAAATATTTGTAGCAATTTTTGTACACAACCATGAAAGTGTTTCTTTCTTACCTGCATGTCTCTCTGGTTTCTTCAATTTCTTTCTGTTCCTCCTTACTGTTCAACACTGCACCAATGCTATCTGCACTCTCAGCTCCTAGCTGTGAAGAACGGTATAAATACAGTATATTACCTTAGCAGAATTTGTTCGACTGTGTTCTTTTGGATTCAGCAAATTGATATCATGGAATCTTTCAATCTTCCAAAATTCCAATTATGAAAAAAAAAGTGCTCTAGGATAACAAATATAGGCCCCCCGTTACAAGTTGCCACAAGTTGTTGAGATGCAAAGGAAAAAACTCCCCTCACACAAGTAAAGTGTTTTCAACTCAGTGATTTTCCATTAGAAAAAATCTTACATCTTGTGCATTGTTGCATAGCTGGTGGTGAATGTGAGTGACAATGGCAACTTTTTTTATATTTAATCTTTTTTTAGACAAATATTACGTTAAATCAGACGACATGAACAAAATCATGATTTCACTATATGTAATGTACTTTTAAAATAAGAACGTTATGAATTAAATTGTATTGGGCATGAGCTCCATTAACATTACCACAATCCTGACAATACTTGACCAGTTTTGGGATACAGTGATGTATGGTGTTCTTCCCTTTTCTATGCACCAACCGCCAGCTAGGAAATGCTGGAGGGTTTGTGTTTGTCTCCTGTCCATGGCATTAGCAATTTGCCCCCACACATGTTCAATTACACAAAGGTCAGGAGAAGAAGCTGTCCTTGGCAAGATCTTGGACATTGTTTTCTTGAAGTCTTGCCACAGTAATCCTAGCCCTGGATAGTCTTTCATTGTACTGATGGTAAACTTGACACCTGGATTGGCTCTTATTTACAGAAAACCTGTCGTATCAAGGACCTTGTTAATATATTGGTCTGCATTAATCTGCATCCAAGACATTTTTTCATTGAAGGAAATTTCACTTCTACTACCCCCCAGATTGAAAAATGCAATGTTAGCAATGACATCCTCTCGCATGTCTTCTGGCAGGTCTCTGAAGGGGAAAAATGGTTTCATCCACGATTAAAACTGTCCATCACTCTCTCGGTTGCCTCCACAAATGTGCTCCGGCCCACAGAAGACAGCAATTCTGTGTCTCAGCCATCGCTGTTACTCTCAGTGACTTGAATGGAGTATGGGGATCATTTTCATGCAATTTGTGAGCTAGTTATTCTACTGTGATATCTTCCTGGAATGTCCGTTGCTGCTTCTCAATACAGTTTATTAACAATTATGGAGATAGATCAGATTGATGTGACTGTCCTGGCCGACATAGTGAAAATCCACCCCCCAGGCCTGCATTTTGGTTCCCCTTTTCTCTGGACTAGTGAGCCGATTGTTGAAATAGAACATCTCATTCTCCAGGCAACTTCTTTTACTGATAGGTCACCTCCAATCACACCAATAGCAAACATGCTGTCTTCATTTCTCAAGCAGGCCATGGTCAGATATTTCATATTCTGACATTAATTATATTTGTATTTTTGAACGGCGGTTGGCGCAGATTCGTAATCAATTTTTGTTTGCAATTTTAACTCGACTCCAATATCAAACTCGGAGCACCCGATACTTTTAAGCCACCACGTGATTTTTTAAAAGTTTTTTGTTGCAAAAAAGAACAGCACTTCTCACGTGATCAACAAATCATTTAAGTTAAATGACGTAAAACTACAGTACGTTTTTACTGTTCATTAGTTAAACCATTTAAAATGTTTAATTTTATAAACAAGATAAATAAAGCAAGCAAAAATATGATAACATGTAATCTCCACTCAAAAAATTTCAGCATTTATTAACGTCAATTTACATTGGAATTAGGTGCAATTATGCCCCCACAAGCTTGTATCGATTTTATTCATTATCTATTTATTCATTATATAATTCATCATTAAAACAGAACTGGAACGGTAAATATTTATCCAACTCCCAAGGGCAATGCCGTAATGCTTTAGAGATCTGTATACACCCGCGAATTTGTGTTTTTTAGCAATATTGAATTTGATGTAATTTATCTCAACTCGCTCTCTTGTGAATCTAACTTCTCTACGGTTAACACCTTATTACGATCTTAAACTACTGACAAATAAAAATTGTTAACTAATCCCCTACAAAAATAATCCAAATCACATAATTCTGGAACACAATTTGAGTGGGAGCTATGCTATCTTTTGTTTTCGTAACGTGAACAAACAGCAAATGTTCTTCCTTACCTGCTGTGCTAAAAGCTGTCTTCTAAGCTTCTGTCTTTCCCTTATTTCTTGTAAACGGCTGTTCATTTTTTATCGATACCGAAGCAAAAGTTCTCAAAGAATGCCTGAATCCTCATTTAGTTCCAATTCCAATTCTTCCCTCCTGCGTTTCTTTCAGAAGCAGCACGAGTCGCGGATATTTTGCGTCATTTCCGGGTAACAGAAAACGGTGATTTAAAATGATGTTTCTTGGCTATTCGGTCATTTCACTTACCACTCAAAAAGGATAGAGATGCAAATATTGGCCAGTTATTTAAAAAAAAGAACTAAAAACTTTTTAAAAAACTAATAGATTTTAACAATATAGGAGATTGTAGGTATTTGTATAACATTCATAGGTTTTGGTCAAAACATAATGCACTTACAAATTATCCATGTAAGGGTACGTCGTCGAAAAAATAATAGTGGTTCTTTCATTTCAATATTACTTTTTTTATCCCCCTTTTATCAGTGTATATTGTTCTGTTGCGTGTACAAGAGTTTAAATCTCATTGCAGCGCAAACTGGCATGTAGACAGTAGATTGCCGTACGTCTTCAGCTGTATGCAGCAATATACAACAGATGCAAAACGGAAGAAGAAATTACAAAAGTATGATTTATGAACATGGAAGAACTTCACTGACGATTCGGGGTTCTGGAGAAACAGTTCTTTATTCAGCCCTGCAGAGGAGGGTGGTTCGCAAAAATCCAAAGTCTAGGAGGATTAGAAATTTAACAAAGTTGATATACAAAGGAAAATCACATATTCTGATAATTGTGTGGTTAACACAATTTATCTTTGTTAAACACAGCAAAGTAAAAAAGTACAAAACAAAAAGGTAATAAATACAAAACCAACCTTTAGCTTAACAACGTTAAGCTTAAATGAACCCGGGGCAACTGTTAATGGCAACACAGCTGTCGGCAGCAACAAGAAGTAGAATTCATAGCACACGATGCACATAATCTAAAATAATTTGGTCACTGTTTGAACTTTAAACAGTATTATGGATGTCTGCTGAATACTTCAGCAAAGATGGCATACAGTACATTTGCTTAAGAGCTGAATAGGCGGTATAGAAAGCTTAAATCATGAAATGGAAGCTTTTGTCATGTAACAAACGTGGTTTATAATTTGTGGTTTGTGATTATGAGTATTGTTACAATTATTACTCATTTTAACAAGACTGACAAATAAGACTGACGTAAACATTGATAATATTGTGCATTTTCAAAATGTGTTACAGCAAAAACAATACTGTCAGGGCACTTTATTTTAAAAATGATTGTAGTAATAGTGTAAATCTGCCTTATGAATGCCTATAATGTTATAATGATTACTAATGACAAGCAGAAGGTCATGTTATTATTAACATGTTATAGGAATAAAGTATTCAAGGTCTTGATTGCATAAATAACAATAGTCTTGAAAATGTTTATTAACAATAAACCACCTTTATTTAATAGTTTATGTGCCTTCTTAGGAGTAAATCACATGATTTTGGGTGAAGGTGTAATCGCTACATAGAAATACAATTTTTAGAACTTTATTCAATTGTAATGCTTATTTTTTTCTGACTTAATCAACCACATAAAAATCATAACATTTTTATTTTAACCGTTCTTATCAACTATAATAAATTTTATTTCAGTACAGGTATGACAAGTGATCTGCATCTGTATATTTTGTTTGAACGTTTTCATAACAACAAAGAAATCTATGCTCTTCTTAAAGTGTGTTCTTTAAATGACACTAGAAACATGTCCTAACATACATAGAAGTATGTCCTAATGTACTTCCTACAGGATAAAACAGTATAAAATGTTTTAGAACAGGATTGGAATTTCTTACACTGAAACTGAAACAGTGAGGTGTGTAAAGAGCAATTTTTCTCCACTTACTATATATGTCATACCTTTCTTCATCTCCTGCAATCATGACCTTGCTGTGGTGGAGGAGTTTGAATGCCACAGGGAGTTTACTCCCTGCTACTGAACTACTGTACTGTATGTTGTCAGGTGGATTGTGCTTCTGGTAGGGCTACCCTTGGCAACTTGGTCTTAGATGAGAGGCCAGACAAAGAACCTTGCACGCTAGACTGGGATGTTTTTCCATTACGAACTGAGAAAACCCTGCACAGACCATGGACGCCAGGACTCACCCTTGGAGCCAGGCCAGGTGATGTTGCCGGCAAACACCTGGTGTCTGGATCACCCACACAACTCAGCCAGGCTCAACTCAAAATGGTTACATGGAGCTGCCATGTGGGATTGCCACTCCCAAAGTGAAGGATGGGGGTCGGGTAATGAGATGGAGTGGGAAAGATCTGGATGATGGACTAGACCTTGGCACTGGAAACTGGCTCTTGGGTTGTGGAACATCACTTCACTGGGGAAGGAGCCATAGCTGGTATGGGAGGTTGAAAAGTACAGACTAGATATAGTCGGTCTTACCTCTATATACAGTATTGGTTCTGGAACCACAATTCTCAATCAGGGGTGGTCTTTGTCCCTCGCATGTCTGGTCTGTGTCACGGTCATCATCCCTCCTCTAGAGGGCGCTCCTACCATTCTTGTAATGTTCTTAGTTTTATTAGTGTTAGCTGTGTTTCATTGCCTCTCCCTTCTTTAAGCCCAGTGTTTCTGTAGTTCCAGGCTCAGCTTTGAAAGACTGACACCTGGAAGCCCACCTACCACTGGGCTCAGGAGTGGCCCGAGGGCAAAGGCTTCATCATGCCGTCCTTTCCTCTGAGTCCCATGCCCCATTATGCTTTTAACCTTTTGTGTTCCTGGTCCCAATTCCCTGTTCCTGTTTTTAATCATCTGGGTCTCCGATGGATCTCCTGGTTTCTGGATTTTGGACTGCGCCTTACTACCCCTTTAGACTTCCTTTGGACTTGTTTGCCTGCGCTCCCCCCATGCGCCAGATCACCTCAGTCACGGCCCCCTGTCTGTCATCCTGACCTTACCTCGCTGTGCCTTCCCTGACGCCTCCAGACACTTCCGGAATATACCGTCACGCATAGGGTCTTTTACAACACACTCCTCGGGAGTTAGATTCAGCTCCCGTGACAGTCTGAGTGGGTGTGGAGATACTCACAAGTCCCTGGCTGGGTGCCGTGCAGTTGGAATTTGTCATGATGGATGAGAACAAATACTGTACTGCATATTGCAGAGAGGAAAACTCTGACTGCCGTGCTTATGTACCGTGGGCACCACTTTCTGACTCCATTGTCCTGCTGGGAGATTTCAACATTCATCTGGGGAATGATGGAAAAACCTGGAGCGGCATGACTGGGAGAAACAGCATCCCAATCAACAAGTCACTTGCTCTCTCTGGGTGATGGGGTGGAACCTTAGTTTATCCCAGGAGGTCTCCCATCCAGGCACTGGCCAGGTTCACACCTGCTTAGCTTCAGTGGGTTGCCAGTGAGTTGCAGAGTGATATGGCTGCTGGCATGTGGTGAGGATTCCCCTGGGCACCTCCTGCTGGAGGTGTACCAGGCACGGCCCACTGGGAAGATACCCTAGGGCAGACCTAAGTCACACTGGTGGGTTTATATCTGTCGGCTGGCCTGGGAGCACATGGGAATCCTCTGGGAGGAGTTGGAGACTGTTGCTGGGGAAAGGGAAGTCTGGTCTGCCCTGCTCCACCTGTCAACACCATGATCTTCAACAGGAGTAAACTGTTAGAAAATGAAATGATTACTATTAGTAGAAGTACTGCAATAAATTACAACTGTATGATTCTTTAATATTATATAATAATATGCTTTCCTAGGCTTTTGAAATTAATTTTGCAGATATATACATTAAATAGGTTAATTAAAAAAAAACAAATAGAAATTGCTTAGCATTGTGTATGTTTTAGAATCTATTGGCATAAACTAAAGTACTTGAAGCCTCTGGCTTAAAAAAATGTATTTTTAAAGTACTTCCTAAAATTATGTGCTCTGTATTAGCGTTTGGTAGAGGTTAGGGCTCTGAATTATAGACTGGAGTGTAAAATTCTGACTGAGCCTCAGTTTTTTGTATCATCAAGCAAGATATTTCATTCAGGTCTGTCCAGTGAATTTAAAAGACATTATATTTTATTCTAACGTGGTAAGATATATTGTACAGTATATAAAAATGTAGTCTAAATAACCACGTTTTAGACAAATAGCCTGCTCTTTTGAGGTCGATTCATACAAAGGAGTTATTAAAATACCCACATTCTGTAAAGTTTGGGTTGCTTGTTAGAACAGAACACGTCTGTATACTCTACCAAACAAAGGAAGGCAAAGCAAATATCACAATTGTAAGGATGTGTTCTTGAGATGTGAATTTACAGCTAGTTGGAGTCGGGGGCGCTACTCAGCGATTTTGTGGCAGTGGCTGGAGGAAGAAAATGAATTGTTGGCAGTGCAAGTCAGGAGCAGTCAGCGGAGAAGTTTTTCAGTGGACTGATTTGGACCTATTATTTTTGCTAAAGAGAAAATCAGACATACAGATCTGGGAAAATTGATTTTTCCGTCGTTAAATGGACGTACATGACAAGGACATGGGGACAAGCTGACAAGCAATAAAACTATAATTTGGTAAATGGATTGATCACGGTTCAAGACTTAACATGGGTTGCATGCAGATGCTGTAGATAATGCAGCTGGCACAACTGCTGAAGCTGAAATGTGCGTCAGTGTTTTACTTACAGGGATTTTTCTTTAAATATTTTACTCAAATGAAAACGTAACCGGAACTGTACATATTTTGGAGGAATGTATAACGCAAATTAATTTTATTTTAAAGGAAGTTTATTAAATATATTTAATAAGTTAAACTTTATAAGAAAACATTTACCCAGACGATTCAGCAATGTTGCGAATTGTTTTTAAGCACGTAAACATACTTGTCTTCTTTTTGTTCTCCTGTTTCGTGTCCCGCATGTCATCTTATTTTTATTCATTTTGAAAAAGTGCGAAGAAAGCTCCTTTCTCAAAGTGAAAAAAAAAAAACTTAGTTCTCGTCAGGAATGATCAATATGCGGGAGGCGTATCGCTACGGGTTGTCTCTGGCACATCTGAATTGATCTACTTGAGTTATCTCCCGGTATTTTGTTCCTTCGCGGATTTGGATACAGGACATGTAATGATCCGATGGACAGGTTTATGAGATCGTGCTGCTCACAGATCCAAGGGCTTTAATTGATTGCAGTGGAGTGATGAACACAGCCTTAAAAGCACCATGAGCTGGTCAAGGTTTCTTGCAGTGATTGCTTCAGTTTTTTTCACCAGAGTATGCTGTTTTGGCTCTGATGTCTCATTCATTCTACCCTTTACCGACTGCATTCAGAGCAAAGGCAGAGCAGGTTACTACGACGGATCGATAGATGTAACAGAGTCTGGTGTTAAGTGTATGAACTGGAGCGATATCACCGGTTTCGAGGAGAGATACCCTAGAAAAGGACTGGGTCGCCACAATTTCTGCAGGAACCCCGATGGCAGGATCAGACCTTGGTGTTTTTTCAGGAACAATAGAGGAAGAATAGACTGGGGTTACTGCGACTGCAAACAAGGTAAATACAATACTTCAAACAGTTTTAGTACAATAGTATGTCTTGAAGCAAACCTCAGCTGAAATTTCCTTTGGTGTTTAATTGTACCTGGAGTAGCAGTAATAGTTTATCTGTTGAGCAGAGCTTTTAGTTTATTTTTATAGTTTTAAAAAAGCTTGCTACAGACATGAGGTAAAGAGTATCTTCAGATACTATTATTGTTGTTTTTTTTCTGTTTTTACCAAATTTTTTTATGCTAACACTCCGGCATCTGGTGCATGGAACAACATTTATATTTGCAAAGTTGTACTGATTTATTTTTTAAAAAGCAGTGATACTTTAGCTGTTTTAAACACGTAACATGTACAACAACCCCACACGGAAATGATCATATTATTTGTTTATTATATAATATTATATAATTATTCATATGAATACATATGTTGATTTAACAAGAAATATTTAAATACCAATTCTGTGTTCTTTGCGAGGAGGTAAAAAATTCAGATATTCAATCACAAGAATGAAGCACTGACATTTTGTATTTCACTATACTCATCACCTTTTTAAAGACACGTAATGAGGTTACTAGTGAATGCAATAGACTGAATACCCCAAACAAGCAAAATCAAGCCTTCACTCAAATTACTAAAAACATGTAAGTAACTCTTTTAAAAAATGAAATAGTAACTGTACACTATGATCTTATTATCTGATTTTTAAAATAATTTATAAGAAAAACAATTATTTTTCTTAGGCAAGTGGCTCAGATCTTCTTGCAACAGCTGCTTCTTTATAAATGACAACAGAGTCCTTTAATAAATGGCCTCAGATATACACTTCTGTTATTTCCCAGACTCTGTCAGGTGCAAAGGACAAGAAAAGCAAGTCCAAGCACATAGTCAACTCCTTTATTACAATCCTGAGTGAAGTCCAAGGTATGCAACTGTTGAAAATGCTGCTGGTTGTTTAAGTTTCACAGTTCTAAACAGAAAAAATATGTTTCAGCATACCAAAATGTTATATTTATTTGATAAAATATGTGGGAAGTACAATTTAAGATCTGTTTCAGATGAACAAAATACTCAATGAAAAGGGCATTAATAAAGAAAACAATATTTCAGGGTTTACTGTCCTGTTTCTCCCAGCTGTCATTGAAAATTTTTTTAATTACTGAAAACAATATTTTCCTCTAGATGCTTGGAAGCCTTATTTTTAAATAATTATTTCAGAAAAACAACAATTCAGATAAAGTTGAAATATTTTTATATTTTAAATTTGACTTAAGACATCTCTTTTATATGTAGGTTTGAAGCAGGTGTATTAAAATTTAGTTTTTACTTTTTCACAACTTCAGTTAACTTATTATGACAGGAATGAACAGTATATTTTCTCTACAACTTCAGTCCATTATGTTTATGATATTTGATTAATTAATGCAGCTACTTAAATTGCCTTGCAAAAATAATAGCAATTAAGTGAATACTTTGATAGCAGGCATTTCATTTAATTGTATTAACAGATATTCTCATTTCTTACTGACATCTTAACATTAGTTGAGCATTACTCTGTATGCATACGTGATACACTTGATATGTTTACCTTTCACCTTTTACTATTTAAGATTGTATTGCTCACACATTTTAAAGACGTATGTTAAAGAAATATGTCTTATTTGTCATGAAGATCTTATTATTTTGTAGTAATTCAGGTGGGTAGCTGCATCAGCATGCGCAGGCTGCAAAGGAACAAGTAATAGGTTTATTCCATGCTGAAAAAAGAAGAGAGAAAAGGCTCCACGGCCAAAACGTTGTGTTTTCATTCTTCTCTTTTTGGCGTGGAATAAACCTATTAATTATTTTTTAGGATTATAGACTAGTCTATAGTACCTGAAGCTGAGCTTTGTTAGTGTGCAAGCTCTGTGCAAAAAGCAGAAAAAACACATTAACCACGGAGCCACACTTCCATCCTTGAAGATATTTCCACAACCAAAATATTGTGTTTTTCCCCTTGTTCTTCCTCATGAATATAACCCCTGCTTGCTCCTCAGCTGTTTGTATGGTGTCCTTAATTAGACACAAGCTCTTTATATCCAGCCATTCATTTTCTAACTGCTTCATCCAATTCATAGGTCATAGGGGAGCTGGAGCCTATCTCAGCCAAGCCACTGGCGCAAGGCAGTATACACCCTGGATGGGACACCAGACCATTGCAGGGCACACACAGACATAGACATGCATTTAGTTACACCAGGGCCAGTTTTCCCAGAAGCCAATTAACCTACCAGCATGTCTTTGGAATATGGGAGGAAACACATGCGAACACAGGGATAACATACAAACTCACAGAGCTAGCACGTCAGGTCCAGATTTAAACCTAGGGCCCCAGTGCTGTGAGGCAGCAGTGCTAATCACTGTGCCACTGTGCTGCCCTAGAGCTTTATATCAGCAATCTCAAAACTGGTCCAGACGTAAATCTTACGTCTTTCGGATTTGTATCTGGGAGTGGATTTTGTTTAGTTGGGAAAACACTACAGATCCCTTTTCCTTTCTGAACTACATCAGAAGGGTGACCACTGCTTTTTATGTTGTGCGTATGTAAATGTGATCAGTATGAAAAGGTCTTTTTTATAGTTGTTTATTCAAAAAAATAATGAACTTCACAGGAACGTACACTTTTGGTAAATCTCGGATATAAGTGAGATGATTTTTGTAAATTAAGAAATCACCATTGCTTTCATTCCTGTGGTTTCTGTTATCTTGCATAGTCCAATACAAGCTTTCCTTTAAATAGACTGTTTTTGAAGCATGTGATTCCATTTCCTTTTGCTTCTAAATTTGTCAATGAGTAAGTGCCATAGCTATCACATACATGTGGATGAGCTGAAAGTGTATATAATGTATGGCATACCACTGCAATTCAGCATGGTTGACTGGCACGCTAGCTGTATTGTATTCTGCTTAATAGCACAAAATCACTTTGAGTGTCAGAGATTCCTTACCAGTGTTAGTTTCAGGGATAGTGTCTGGGAATTCCCTAGAGTTTTACCCACAGTCTATATTGTTTAGTCTAAGCTTGAAAGAGAGATTATTTTCAGCTCATAGTTTCTTTCAAATATGTATAAAATAACATGCTGGTCTTTTGTGGTCTTGGTAGCAAAGTCCAAGGGATGAATTAAAAAAAGAGAACAATGGTGTTTATAAAATGAGACAGTAAATCCCATAACTTTATGAGCTGGTTTCACATACCTTGATTAGCATTAGTACTGGACTATCCTTATCCCAAACTTAATGTTGATTAGGGTCTAGTTTGCAGTTAAAATGGTTATCCTTTTTTATTTATATTAATGGTCTTGAATTACAGGGTAGAGGAAAAGTTTGCAAACCCCCTAGGCAAGACAATACTCTTGTATATTCTAGTCGTAAAAAATAATGAGATCTTCATGAAAGTCCTACTAGAGATTTAGATGATTCAATGTATAACAGACATGAGACATAATTTAATCATTTAACAAAATGATTGAGTAGTACACATTCTCTTGTGAATAAGTCCCTGAACCTTTAGATTCAATAACTGGTGGCTGATGCTTCAGCAGCAATGATTCAAGTAGACATTTCATATATACAGTATGTTTATCAGCCTTTGGCATTGGTTTTTTCGTATTGTATTGTGGCCTATTCTTCCATACAGAACAGCTTAAGAGGTCGATATTGAGGGTTTCTTTGTACGAACAGCTGATGTTCTGCCATAACATTTCAAGAGGCTTAGGTCCAGACTTGGACTTGGACGAACATATTAAATTTCTCCTGCCCTCTCTTATACAGGAATCAACTTGTAGTTTTAGGATAATTGTGTTACTGTGTGACCCAGGATAGCCTGACATTCTCCTCAGAATTTGCTGATATTACACTGAGATCGTGGTTTAATCTTAGAACAATCCTGAATACTCCAAACCTTAAAAAGGCCAATTTTTGATGATTATTCATGACACTGCCAGGGGCACAGTGTGGTAGTGAGTATCTTAAGATGAGGAGTCTAGAGATATATAGAGATGGGAGTCCTGTACATAGCAGCACTTTTTTATTCACAGTGTAAGGAAACCAGACAAAACCAACAACAGCTAGCTCTTCCCAAGCTCGAAATAAACTATCCCTGAAATGTCCCTTCTAGGAATAACTGGCCAATTAAACTGCTAACTGGCAATAAAAGCAAAACCCTGATGTCACAAAATAATGTCCACAGGGAATTTGGACAGTTCTTTGCTGCTGCTGTTTTCCCTCTGCTGCAGTGTATAAGAAGCTATGTTCTGCTTAGACAACAAAAGCCAACGGGTACTGAAAGCTTCCACTTCCTGATTCTTCAGCTGTCACCTGACCAGTTGTAGAAAGATGAAAGTTGTAGTTCAGTGATAAAGGGCAGCAGGTTACACTGTTTTCTGTGGAATGCAAATCAGACAAGATACAGGATACTGTACCTCTTGTGCGAATCTGTTGCCCTTTTATAGATTCTTATTTTGTGGTATGATGCATTTGTGTTTTTTCCTACCTATTTTTTGTATTTTTAATCATAATGTTTATAAATTACTTAATAATGCTTTCCTTTTGTGGTTTCAAATGGGAACAGAGGTCGACACAATCTGCCAACATCATTGTTATTTCTTTTATGCTATATATTTTATCTACTTTTTGGAAATGAATAAATATTAACAACCCAAACATGGCTTTTCTTTCACATTTTCAGTATAGAATAAACCTGTACTCTACAGCACATTGTCACAGCTCCTCACTCTACCATTATCTCAATTATGGATCTGACCAACCTATGATGTTTTTGTTCCAGTGTCAGTAGTGATATGTCTAAATCTGGAGTATACTGCACAAAACGGAACATTTCCTAGCACCATTTATTGTGTTTTATGAGTGGTAAATGCCGTCTAATTTTGTTCCAGGTTCAGTGAGGCTACAAGGTGGGAGATCCAAGCTGGATGGTACTGTTGAAGTATACTTGAATGGAGTCTGGGGAACAATCTGCAGTAATAACTGGAGGGATGAGAATGCAGCTGTAGTCTGTCGACAGCTGGGACATGGGTAAGGAATTTGATAAAGATGGAAACAGATTCCTTACTAATCCGGATTAGTGAAACATCTTTCTCTGATGGATTTGCTTCAGTCATCCAGCATGTGCATCAGTGTATTTTACCAATATCATGAAACTATCTTGTCCAACTGGATGAGATATACTGGTGTGCTGAAATTTCTTTGTTTCTTTTTATACATCTATAAGTCTGGATAAAAATCAGCATTCATGATTTATTTCCAAATAATGTATTTCCATAAGGAGATGAAATGAAAGATTGATTTTATTTAAAATTCATATAACAAAATTTAAACTATTTTTTAGTAAAAGGCATTAATTTAACCTGAAATTATTGTGGGTTATAATTTAATTCTGGTGTAATGTTCAGTGGCATTACCTTTAAAGTTGTAATGGCCTCAATTAAAAAAAAAAGTTTCAGTTTCCTCTACCTTTAATTTCATTTTGATGCAAGTCTCAGATTTGCAATATGACAGACATGTGACAAAAATAGCATTTTAGTAAATTGCTTTAATCCGAGCCGAAGGTCAGACATTGGTTTTCGATCTAAAATTTTAGTTTTTAACTTTATGTCTTTATCCACATTTATTTTCTTTTTTTCTTATCTTTGAACAGATGGTAGGGTTGAATTCTAATTTCCCTAGATAGTAAAGAAGAAAATGCCAGCAGCCATATGTTGCCCATTAACTTTATACTCATCCACAAAACAACCTTTGTTAGTCTCTTGTACCACAGCCCTGCATTCCAAGTAGCTTCATACACAAAGGTATTTGCACTCCAAGCATTTTTTTTCCAGACGTGATATCAATGAGACCAACCCAGTTGATGTGCTAATTTTTAGGTCCCTTGGTATCATATTATATTGCAACAGATCTCCCAATCCCTAATTCCGTCCTTCAGAAAACAACTGATCTCCTCGGGGAAGCACTTTCCTTAACATATCAAAGCCAGCGACTATCATTTATTTTTTACTGGCATGTTCGGCATATCCGAAATGATCTGACTATACGTTAGTGTTGCTCCATTGCTTTTCTAACGCAGCTTTTCATTGTATTACACATGTAATCAGTTTTGCAGAAAGGATATAATTTAAACTAGAAAACTTCATACAGTAGACATGGTGACACACTAGGTGGGTGTGCCATAATGGGATCTTCAAAGTAGGTGGGCCCAGGATAAGACAAACTCAGCCACAGGGAATTTCAATAAACACAAATAAACACAAACAAAAATCAAAAGCCTAGCTATTTATTTTTAGCTGGAAATGAACTTCTTCACAGTTGCTAACTATTAGGATTTTGCTATTAACAGCATTCATACAAGTCTCTCTCTGAGACTGTGTTCTAAGCTATTCCAAAGTTACTCCAAAGTCACAGTTCCAGTGCTCCTTGGTCAGGTGATTGAGGGCTACTGCTCATTACTCACAGCTTCCTAGGGAATGTGGTCCAGATAAGGCTACCATATTGTTTGAACCTGCTGTGCTGTTATAATTGCATAAAATGAATGGAGTATATCAAACTGTAAAGCCTAGGACTATAGCAAAGACAAGTTAAACGATTAAGGCATTAATTTCAAGGCCTGTCCAATATTACTAAAAACAAGGTTGGTAAAACTGAGCGAGAACCTTCTGAATATTTGCTTCAGAATTTCGAATTAAAAACCAGAACATTAACGCAGTGTCTATTTACATTCACGAACTGCGTGTGCTCTTACGTTTATATAAATTAGTAAACCAGTTGGAAATAACAATATTTATTTCTAATACTTATTATAAATAGTATGGACCTGGCTAAACAATCAATCATTCAACTGCATGACTTTTTTATAGTGAGGTCTTTCATTTTGTAATTTTTAATCTTTGTGGACTAGGATTGATTTATTAAACAAGTTTGTCAGCCTAGAGGTGTCACACCGGGGACTCAACCAGGGAGGAAGTTGTTATATTTAAAGCTTTGATCCCTCTGGCTTTGGACTTGTTTTTCAGGTATAAGGGCAGGGCTAGACAGAGCCCCCTGTCCAGGCAGACCTTGTTGCCAGTACATTGGCATACAGTGCACTGTCATGGGGAAGAAGAGGACCTGCTACAGTGCCAGAGGACAGTGTGGAATGGGGGGGAGTGTGCTAACAGGCAAGTTGCTGCTGTCACATGCACCCCACAGGAAGGTAAGAAATTCTCCCTTCTTTCTATTCATGTCAAAGACAGGATGCAGTTTATTTACGTTTATTCATTGTTTATATGGCATATGGTTATTAAAAGGCCTTTACTGTAAGTGAGTCCTCATGCAGTAGTTATTTTCTCTTTGCCATGAGAGTGAATGAATCTCTTCCCCTCCAAAAGATAATGACAATCTGAATCAATTAGAACATCATAAAATATTGTTAGAAAATGAAATCTGCTTGTAATTGTTATATGTACCATAGTTTTGTCATTTTTCTTTCTGAAAATAGAATGAAACATGCTTTTGAGCTAATTAATTGTGGAGGTACAGTACCAGTGTATTTTAAAAGGAACAGGCTTGCAATACTCCACTAAATAAAGAACAAAACAGCTGCTGTGTTTTAAAATATTGCATATTTTTTCCTTATTTTGTTTTGGTGTATTGACACATGTCTTGCTTCCTGCCACAAGTAGTACTGTTGTAAATAACTGTCTAGACTCCAGAGGCCTGTGTTGAATTACACCCGTTCACAAAACGTATTACATGTAAAAACGTATAAAAGTTATTACATTGGAATTTTAACGACAATTTAAATGTATTTGTCACTCCTGCTGTATGTGGTCTCTAGGAGTTCATCCCCATGCATATGTGTTTTTAGCAAATTAGAATTAAAATGTGCTCAAAAAATCCTTGCAAATCCCACTAAAACCTTGAATGCTGATGATGAGAGAATGTTGAGAGAACTTTCTGAAACCAGTTTCATGTAAACAAAAGCTATTTACGATATCAGTGAAAAAATCTGTGTAGTCAGAGGGGATGCTAGAAATCCATTTGCTGCACAAGAAAAAAGAAAAACATGGAATGAACCTCTTTACAGACTTTTCTTTTTCAATTAATGAACAAAAGCATTTATTTCCGAATATAAATGATTTAATTTGTTTTGATTTTTAATGTAAGTGCTGGAGTCGCTTTGGCATTGTGAACTTGCTGTTTGTGACGCTAGTACAGTAAGTATTATCTACAAAAGCTTAAACCTGAACCCACTGTATCCTACCTGGTCCCGATGGGTTTACTGGTTTTCGTAGGAGTTTTTTTGCAAACACAGAATGCTCAAATGTTGTGTGCTCATTTTTACCCCTTTTTGTATTATACAAAGGATTGGCAAGGCTCTGTGTTGATGCTGCAGTCAGAAAGCATATAATATAAAGGTGGATGTATCTCTGCACAAAAGCTGTGTGCTTCTGCTTAAGTTCCTGTATTTGTCAGGTTTTGTTCACTTTATTACAATAAACTAAGATCCACTCTAAATGTCCTATACCTAGAACTTACCATCACAATAATATGGGTGTTTAATGTGGTGTTAACTCAATAAATGTATTTATGTCACTGTTAATTTCTGCATACAATAGTGACTGGGAAAACATAATTTCAGTGTTTCATTTTAAATGTAGAAAAGATGAAAAAAGCTGAATTTCATGTTTTTCATCAGAGAATTTAGTTTAATCTAGGAATGCTAGAAATCTTTGTAGTTTTTCCTTTTTTCTGTGTTGTATTCTTATGGAGAATAGGCACTAAATTAGTCATACTGTACAAGTTCTTTATCCATTTTACAATTATGATTGAAATACATTTAAACTTTAAGTGTATAAGGGTTTTGCCAAACACATTGATACATTTAAATACAAATGTTTACATTACAAAAATATGGCATTCATTAGTTTACAGTTTATCTTCAAGATGTACATTCTAAAAAACCTCTGATTTTTTACAGCTGTGTAAACAAGCTAAAAACTGAAACATATACAAACAATTAAATTGAGGAGCAATTATTTTTACAATAATTTGTAATGCACGGTGGAAGATGTTTTCAAGGCTATGATTTAATAAATTCTTTCAGTCTGAATTTCGCTTCATATGCGTAATTGTTTGACACTCTGGGGAGCTACTAAAACACTACACTATAATATTTAATTAAAGAAATTGTACTAATTTAACTCATTATATCATGAAATATTAAAATAATTCCAGTGTAGCTCACACAGAAATCACACATATTATCACACATATACGGTAGAATCTTGATTATTTTTAAACAGCTTTTTAAAAACACAAGATAAAGGTCTCTTCACAGAATCCTATATAATAGGCTTTAATCTTGTTTATTAATTCTGAAAGTCAAATATACGTCTCTTGTATAATAATGCTGACGGGTTTAAGCCAAACGTTCCAAAACTTTTATGGATGTTGGAAAGAAAATTCAATTCTTGTTTTTGTGTTAATTTAGGTACTATAGAGAGGAAAAAAAGGAAAGCCTATTAATCAAATTAGTCATCCAGTCCCAATAGAGCCTGAAGTAGTAAATTTGAACCATGTATCTTTGCTCCAGTGGCTGTGTTTGTTCCAGTTCGTCTGGTTGGTGGAGGCTCAGAATATGAAGGCAGAGTAGAAGTCTTTCATTCTGGTCAGTGGGGCACAGTATGTGATGACCAGTGGGATGATGCAGATGCTGAAGTGGTTTGCAGGCAAATAGGCCTGGGGTAAGTTATGATTTTGCACACTCTTTTACTTTGTACAGTAAATTCTAAATGCACCGTAAATTGCTCTGAGGGCAAGGCTAAAATTATTAATAAGATTAAAGTATACAAGGTAGTTCTGAATTTTTCAAAGTTTTTATCTACTTTGCTTTACAGTTTTTGTCTGATGCCTTGTAACATTGCTCCTTAGGTCAATGTTTCTTCTCAGTTCAGTCAAGAGGAATTTAAAGACAATACAGTGTGTGATAGACTTTGATTTTTCTTTAGTGTAGGTAATTTTATAGGAAACACAGCTGTATATTGTAGTTTTCATTAAAATTACAATTACTATTATTATTATTATTATGATGATGATGATGATGATGATGATGATGATGATGATAGGAACATCATCCAGTTACATGGAGCACTTTGTGTGCTGTGAATTGCTACATGTAATAAGGTTTAAAGATAGTATACCATAATTATATTGACACACGCAGATTTATCATTTAATCTTGATTGTTTTTAAACAGATTTTTGAAAACACAAGATGAAGGTCTCTTCACAGAATCCTACCTATTAGGCTTTAATCTTGTTTATTGATTCTGAAAGTCAAATATACATCTTTATGTCTTTATGGAGTACTTAAAGCGAATTTACACATTTATTTAGTGGAGCCTTTTGTATCTAGAAAAAAGCAGACACTGTCAGGGCAAATGCATTACAAATGTTTTTGTGTATGAAGCAGAGATGTAGACTATCTAAATATATTTTTAGAATTATATCATTTAAAATATATAACATTTAAAATAAATTACATTTAGATCTGTTAAAGCTGGAGAAATTGAAATATTAAACGAGTCCTTATTTGTTTCTTTGATGAGTTAATATCATACAGATAACAAAATAAAAGTTAAAATTTATTTATGAATACTGACTTCCTTAAACAATACTATAGCTGCTACTTTTAAGAAATTTTATTCTTCGGAAGCACAGACTACTGTACTTCACATATGCAGGTTGTAAACTGAATTGTTAAGCTAGTCCTAAGAATTTGTTTGATTCAGTTTCTATTTCCGTATCAGACCCAAATTCTCTCTACAGTGTCTTGAATATGTTTAGATAAACAGTACACTTTCCTTGTTTATCCCTTTCAATCTGATATTAAAATACTACAGATGGGTGTGATACTGGATGGTGGGTTTATGTGGAAATATGTACAGACTGAGCACACCTACTGCGAAGGACTGGCACCCAGTCCAGGCTACATCCCATCTTGTTCCTGTCTTTTGCCCATTGTGACCCTGTATAGGATAAAGCAGTTAATAAACTGATGGATAATTCACACCCATATGCCCATATAATTATATGAAGCAATATTATAATTATAATTATTATAATACATCTAATAATTATTATAATTTGATGTAATTAGTGTTCAAATTAAAATGATTCCACAATTTTATTGAAAAATATTGATTTTACTTCATTATGCATTTTCGGTTAAAATGAAAAAAGTAAGCTGAATCAAGGAAGATACTGTAAAAACAAAAACGACCATCCACATCAGTATAAAATGTGAAGTATTTTGCCCATGTGCTTCTGCAAGACAATGCACTGTTTCATGAAAAGGCAATAAAAAGAAACTCTTGGACACTTGGAGTCATATTATGAATCCAGGCCATTGTTCCTACATGGTAACTTTAAAATGCTTACACAGTGGTTTAGACAAAACTGCTAAAACACATGTCCTTCTAAAACTGATGATATTGCAGATATAGGCTTGTAGGTCAGCCTTTCAAAATTCTTTCCTTCCTCATATGCTCAGCCCTCAAATTATGCATGCTTGTTTAACCAGTAGTAATTTAACTGGAACTCACATCAAGAGAAGTAATAATTGTAAGAAAACACATTTTTAAACATAAAGCCGATGTACTTAAACACAGTTTTTACATAAGTCTTAATTATCACTGGCAGTTAAAGCAGAGCTCTGCGATTATATAATTTTTTGTTCAGTATAGTACAGTGCGAGACAATAATCTACACAGTAAAAGGACTTAGCAATCTACTTATACATATCAAGGTTTTGGTGTCATTTGGACTAATTGACAACTCATGGATGACTGTAAAACACACAAATTAATTAGACTGTTGCATAAGTACTATAAACAGTCTCATTAGTAAGCAAGCTAAATGGGCACTGATGATTTAATTTAACCTGTTGAATATCAAGCTGGTAAAAATATCAAGATATCAAGAGCAAGAAAGTAAAAGAGAAATGAACAAATCTATGACTTTTCAGGACAACCACACCTTAAGTAAGCCTTGAGTAAGTTAGCAGCTGGCCTAAGTCAGAATATTCTTGCTCTGTGTCGGGAGTATTCACAGCTAGCAGATTTCTAATGTTCTAGCCAAATGCAACTACACTTGTAGTGATAGATCTCCACTTGAATTCTGTCAGAATCTGACTCTATGCCACTACATTAATTCACCTCTGGGCTTCACCTGCTGCTGTTCCAACAGGCATATCGTAACATGGTAACATTCCAGCAGGACAACACATGTCTTTATCGTGCTTGAGTAGTGTAGCCATGGATTTTTGACAAGATGAGTGTATGAGTTACGCCTGCTGAGGATGCTCTAGTCCCCAGATTTGTGCCCCAGAGAACATTTGTGGATGAGTTGAGATGACATGTGGCTCAGAGACCAGTGAATAGGCACACACAGTGCATTCTTTACAATAGAAAAAGGAATGAGATACCATCTGCAACTTGATATAAATCTTGCAGCGCAGATGTACAGCTTGCTTTGCTCCATAGGTGATCACACATGCCACACAAGCTCCTGTTGATCAACCATGTTGATGTTTCTTTTGCTTAGTAAACTGAATATAATACATACAGTATGCCAATGATTTTCAAAATGTTCTAAAATAAGATCTCATTTTCTTTAGAAACGTCCTTAGCACAAGGCAGGATATACTGTAGGTTCCCCAATAATTGTGAAAACAGATACTGTAACTGGGAACAAACATTATCCTGTTTTTTATACAATTAGCTCAAATATGTAACAGTTGTAAAACAGAAACATTTATTAATTTATTTATTAAATTATTTTATGAAGCCAGATAATGTTTGAGCTAAGACATAGTTTGCATCCTCAAGTTCTATGCTTGCAAAAATAAACATAGCTTTTGATGTGTGCATTTTGTAAAACAAAATTATGTGGATTCCTCATAGAAGAAATGTTGAATTATTTAAAATAACTTGATTTTCACTTTCTGTCCTTGTCATGTGTTTCATCATGTATCATATGTTAAATGAGTTCTTCCAGATTTCTTATTTATACCGCAGTATCTCAACCCAGAGGGATTTGTTTGTATGCAAGCTACAGTACAGCGGAGTCCTTCCAAAAAAAATACATACACATATTCCTGAAATGTTTCAAGATTCACAGTGAACACGGTATGTTACATGGGATATGTTGGCTCTCTGTTGTGTCTCCACAGGGGAACTGCCAAGGCATGGAGCCAGGCCTATTTTGGACAAGGGTCTGGTCAGGTGTGGCTTGATGAGGTGCAGTGCACAGGGAATGAGCTGTCTATTGAGCAGTGCTTCAAGAGTCTGTGGGGAGAGCACAACTGTGAACACAAGGAGGACGCAGGGGTCTCATGTACACCTCTCACAGGTATCACACAAGGACAGGATCCTGAGACTGCCTCTTCTTTTCTTTGAACGAATTAGAAAAATACAATTATAATTACATTTCCCTGAAAATATGAAAGTAAACAGCTTTGCAATATACATTTAGATCTATTCTTATTAACTGAAACAACCTTTATTTTAAAAATACCCCTCTAAAATTGTTATGGTAGGACTGCTTTCTGAAATACTTCAATATTTTAGTAAAAGGAATAGGGAGCAAATGTAAGCATGTGAGAGGAACACTCACTTAGTGCGCTGGAGAGCTAAATTAAAAAAAATGTTGTTATGGTAAGACTTTTAATTTTGCTAAAGCTGAGTCTTTTGATAAAAAACTGGGAATATGCTGATATTAATAAATTTAAGTGGTATCTCTCATAAGCTTGAAAATCATGAGGAAATATTGAAAGAAAAAATGTGTATAAAATTATGTTGTGTTCTTCTCCATCTTTCAAACACCCCTAAATTAATAGTGTTTACCTTCTAAGATTTTCCATTTCAGTTCATAATAATGTAAAGTGGCAAATATGAAGGTCTAAGAATTTGAATTCCATTTGCTTTCTATGATGATTTAGGCACCTAAGTGTTCTGAATATAGGGCATCTTGTGTGTACTGAAATGCTGTTCTGAGTAGTCTAACATTTGCTGTAAATATAGTTCTCAGGGTAACCACAAACATTTTTCCAAAGCCACAATGGCCACTGATGATTTTTATGTAAATGCGCTGCCACATATCTTCTGTGTAAGCAACATTAAGTCATTTCAGATATTAATTTTCACCTATTACTTTTATTTATTTTTTCCTATATTTTTGTATTAGTGAAGGAATTCAAATGAATGTGACTATTGTTTGAATTTTCAGAATGTATCCCTTGTTTTATTTTATGAGGCAATCACTGTTAAACTGTGGTTTCATATAAGAAATACCAGTAGGCACCAAACAAATGTAACACTGTTACTAACAGACATTTATGTACATAGTGAAAGAATCTATGTATTATATACTTACTTATATATATCACTTAGTTTTCAAACTGTTCAATTTTATTTTGATGAATTAAAGAGGTCATACTGTACTTTAGCCTCTAATTCAGTCTTGTTTTCTACTGTATGTTGAACAACGCTGTTCCCCGTTTCATACTGTATTATGCAGCTCTTGCATTATTCAGTACCTTAACTGTTTCTGTTATAATTTGATCAACAGATGGCTCTTTACGTTTGGTGGGTGGACCAGGCAGTTTTGAGGGCCGCTTGGAAGTTTTCTATAAGGGACAATGGGGAACAGTGTGTGATGATGGCTGGACAGAATCTAACATTCAGGTGGTCTGCAGACAGCTGGGATTTAGGTACAGTGCCAAGTTAATTCAATCTCTATGTGATGGGATAAACGTATTGTACCTTCCATTTATATATTAATTTTAATCTCACATGATGAGGGGATGCGTATCAGAGAACTATACAGTGCCTATAGAATTTCTACACACCTTTTCCACAGTATTTTGTGGCCTAACAGCCTGAAATCAAGACATGTGAAATCATCATTTATTTTACCTTTATGTACACTTATTTTTTATTTATGTAGAGATTGTAACACATGGCCAGCAAGTGAAAAACAAATGTTCAGCCATTCTGAAAAGTAATTACAAATGAAAATCTAGAAAAACGGGTTGGATACCTGTGCACACCCCTACGTTAGTACTTAGTGGAAGCACCTTTTGCTTGAATTACAGTCATAGTTTTGTCTGGGCAGGTCCACACCAATGTTGCTCACCTAGATTTGGCAGTGTTTGCCCATTCCTTCTTACAGAACTGTTCGAGCTCAGGCAAATTGTGAGTATTAATTAGTGGAAGAATCTGGACAATGTGTATGTTTGGGTCCTTTTGAACTTTATACATTTCCCTATTAAAATTATTAAATTATAGGTGACTTATAGAAGTACCTACTGTATATTATAACTTTAGGCTTCTGTTTCCTGTGAATAACATTAATTATTCCCTATGGAAAAATAATTTATTACAGAAAGTAGGACATTGATCTGATAACAAATCCTTGGCCTAATTGTTAAAAATGCGTACTAAGGTATGATGAAGCTGCCGTACAGTACCGCTATGGAGCGGGCTCGGGACCGATCTTCTTCGACGATGTGAGCTGCTCTGGGAGGGAGTTGTCCCTGTCACTATGCAGCAGAAGAGAGTGGAGGAAACACGACTGCACCCACCAAGAAGATGTGTCTGTCACCTGCAGTCCTGAGCGCGGTTTCCATGGCATTCCAGAAAGTGAGTGCTGTGCTGTACTTCTTGGCCTCACAGGTCACACCTTTCTTAGCTATCTTATTATCAGGAAGGTTTCAAGGTATGTTAATTATAGGGGTAGCATAGGGTTAAATATGTTAATAAGGTGGCATTTCCTTAGCAGAAGTCTTTTAGTTTTTCCACTTAACAGGAAAGGAAAGCAATAGTCCAATTTTTATTAAAATGAATGTTAAAACTATATTAAACTTACAAATGATTGTATTATTATGCATGGTTTAGTTAAGCTGCATACTACCATGATATATAAAGCATTTTAAAACAAAGGTACCTTATACTGTAGGTCTGTTAAAACTGCTGTTTTTTAATTGTATCAACAACACAGATAAAATGCCATTTTCATTTTTTCATTTTAATCTATTTAACGTTTTGCCAAGAAACCAGTCAAAACAGACTCTCCTTAAACTGTGGTATTCATATCTACTCAGGAATTTCCCTTTCAGCAAAATTCATTTCTTGACCATTATTCAGGAAAGACAGAAAAAAATGTGATGAATTTTCTGATTTCTGATTTTCAAAGGTGGGACATGAATGTTTCCAGGTGGGAAAAATGTGCAATTGTATGATGAACATTAGTAAAACTGGTGTACCGTAAGTAGATAATGACAGTATAGATAAATCTAAAGTAGAATTCACTTACTCTTTTTATGCATTAAAAGTACAGGAATTATTTTATCAGAAATTATTCATGTTGGAGTTGTATCAACTATTGGTTGTAATCGTAAAATAAATACTATTGACAAAATGGAAAAACAAATACTTTAAACATTCCAACAAAACATAAACAATCCAAAGAAAAAGAAAACCAGCCTAGGATTGTGAAATATGATTTAATTTATAAGTCAGAACTGTAACAGACACTATAACTCTATAAAACCTACACTGCACATCACTCATATAAATCAAACTAGATTGTTTTCTAACATGATGTGTTTTACAACTTGGGCATTTAAACACAAATTAGTCTAATTTAAGTCAGTTTCATTATATCCTATATATTAAATAGACTATAAGCACTGAACTTTTGATTTCAAGCTTTGCTTGAAGAAATTATTTTAAAATTCTTGTAGATCATGCTATATATATTTAGCCTTTGTGATTTAAAACATGTTTCATCATTGCCTGCTGACTGTAGGGCATTAAATAATAAAGTCAAAGTTTTTTTAATATTAGAAGAGATTAACCTTTAAAAAGAATGTGACTGTGCCGGACACAACCAGCAAGCCCAAATAAGTTTTCTCTGTAATGTTCCTTGATCCTTAGTCACTTAAGATTTAAAAAGGCATGTGTATTCTAATCTTATTAAAGTATTTAATACCACATCATGGACAGATCTGTCAATAGGAAGAAGAAAAGATGTTGCCTTTGCTTCGTTAGCATGCAAGCCTACTGTGTGTGTTAACATCTGAACTACCTCAAAATGTAACCTGAGTGGCTCCTAAGTGTTAAGATGACTAAGTACACTCACATGTTCTACTGTAAGGTAACACTTAGCAACATTTCTTCCAAGTTATATTCTGTTGTCCTGTTGACATTTTCATCAAAAGCTTTTCAAAGTTTCAAATGCCAGAGGAGCTCAAGGGATCTGCCTCTGTACTACAGAATGATTTCACATGACAGTTTAGGACTAAGGCTTTGGGAAGGATATATGTAGGAGAGTTGTTGTTATCTAATTCTGACATTTGTCAGAAGTGTTAAAACACCATCAAATAAAAGAGTAGGCTGTCTTTCCTATTTTTGTGTTTCGTGGGTTTTTTGTAGGGACAAACAAAAAAACAAACATTTGACAAACAGCTATATTTCTGTTTTGTCCAGATGTACCTTTTCATTGCACATAAATAGCATGATTTTTATCATAGGTAGAATAAGAAATAGGGCTCACATTCCTGAAATGCTGATTGGGATTACAGTACTTGCTGGAGCTTCCAGTACATTTATGTAAAACATGTCTTAAATCCATTTGCAGGGCCTTGAAATGTAGAGTATTGATCAACTCTGGTACTATTAAAATCATTTTGCAACCGAAATCATTTTGCCATGTTTTAATTTAATACTGAAAATGCCTGTAATACAGATCTCTTTTTTTTGTAAAGGCACTGTATCATAATGGGACTTCACTGCTTTTATTCTTGTTGCTGATATCGCTCTAATCAATTGTAATCTTATCAGTCATTCTGCAATTCTTATCATTCTGCATTCTTATCAATCATTCTATACCTGTACTAGGAGATGCATAGTATTATGCATCATAGTATTATGCATCACTTTTATTACTTTGCCATTTTTCTTATCAAAGTAATTTCATCATAGACGAGTTATATAAAGAATTAGTCAGTCACACTGACATACAGTAAGTCAGTCATTGCAAAGACATCATCACCTTTTTGAACTGTTTTTGAAGAAGGATGCTGCCTTCTTGGAGGTGTGTAATAAGATATTTACACTGGAAATGGTCCCAGAGTAGTTGGTAATCACCCACAGGTAATAATCCACAACAAAGTTATCATTCAGGTTGATTCTTATAAGCACTTAGGTGTACACATACAGTAGACAGTAACCTATGCTGGACTACTCATATTGAGAGTGTTTGCTCCAGAGTTCAGCAGCGCTTGTATTTCCTGCAAAGACTAGTGTTTGGGGTTCGACAGGAAGTAATGCTACTCTTTTACCGTGCTGTAATCGAGAGCATTGTCAGATATGGTATTTCAGTGTGGTTTGGTAATCTATCAGTTCATTTAAAATCGCAAATTACCTGCCTCATCCAGACAGCTTTGAAGGTCATGGGAGTGAAACGGCATCCCTCCCTGTAGATGGTCTTTGAAAAATCCATAATCATAAAAACAGGAAAAATTATATTAGATCCTTCCCACATCCTCAACTCTAAATATTAACTTCTTCCTTCTGGCAAACGTTTTAGGGTTCCCAAATGTAAGTCAAACAGATACAAAAATGTCTTTGTTCCACTATCCATTAAAGCTGTCAATGCAAATGTCAAGGATAAACACAATTTTGACTCTTACAACCCACTTGAGTGCAACATGTTTTGTGATGTGTTATACTGTACATGTGCAATAGAGTGATGTGCAATGTTTTTCTTATTTTTTGTTATAGAATAATGTGCAATGTTTTTCTTTTCTTCTTTTTTATGCATTCTATTTAAATGTACAGGAGTGCTGGGTGTCCACAAAAAAAATTCCCTCAGGGGACAATAAAATCTTATCTTATTTCAGTTCTGTAATGGTCAAAGAGCTGTTTCTGACTGTGTCTTCAAATGGTGTTTCTCCAATGACTGCCACCATGTTGCAGGTTTACCTATCCGGTTGATGGATGGACAGAACAAGAAGGAAGGACGTGTGGAGATCTACATCCATGGCCAGTGGGGGACAATTTGTGATGATGGATGGACTGACAGGGATGCAGATGTTGTCTGCAGGCAGCTAGGTTTCATGTAAGTTTCTCACCTCAGTCAGTCCTTTAATGGGAAATAATGGTTTTGGGAAAAGGAGTTGCCAATGTATTTACTGAACTTGCTTTGATATCACAGATTCAAGATGTAGTGCCCTTTTACTGCACCTCAACAGAAAAAGGTGAAATTAAAACAGTTAGTTGAAACCTACAGTCATTTCTGCTATAACACGTGTTTCTATTAGGGGAATTGGCAATAATGCAGCTGATTTAGTAGGGAATGCCTTTTCCATAAATGCTGGTCCAGTATGACCAATTCAAGTACTGTATACTGAAACTAGTCTTGCACATAGAGTAAAAATGTTTGCAGGACAGCCTCAATGCAGCAAAACACAATTGGGATACTGGAGAAATTCTTTAAGCATTGGCCTCAGTTTTGTGCAACCTGTATACATAACAAAGTTGTGTATCTTATATATTTTTTATTTGTTCTATTTTTTTCTTCTTTGGAAATATCAGTAAATATATTTCAATTCAGGTGGGTAGCTGCGTCAGCATGCGTAGGCTGCAAAGGAACAAGTAATAGGTTTATTCCATGCTGAAAAAAAGAAGAAGAAAGAGAACACAACGTTTCGGCTGTGGAGCCTTCTTCAGGTGCACACCTGAAGAAGGCTCCACAGCCGAAACGTTGTGTTCTCTTTCTTCTTCTTTTTTTCAGCATGGAATAAACCTATTACTTGTTCCTTTGCAATATATTTCAATATTACTGTTCCAATGAGTGGCAAGGGTATGAAGCACTCTGCTAGTGTGTCTGCTGCAAATGAAAAGTAGAGCAAATTTTACTCTGAAACAAAAGATTAATGTTATACAGCAATTTGAGAGAAATAAAAAAACGTGATATAATTCATACTACTGGGATTAGTTGTGTGTATTGATAAAGCTCCTTATGAAAAATGTTGTTCCACCCTCCTTCATCGCTGACTCTAAACACTATTATCTCTGACTATTACTTATTACTGACTATTATGGCTTATTTTATCATTTTTCACCATTTTCTATTTATAGTTTTCTTAAAAACACATATGCAGAAGTAATACATTTCATCTAATAATATGTCTAATGACTGTAAAAAAATATCTTCCTTATTGTGAATCCAAAGTCTCTACCTCCTAACCCCTTAATTCCCATTGAATGGTTCTATAACAAGGTTTTGTAAATCACAGTGTTTGACAGCAACGCGCCTATTGTACTATAGCAGAAATGTCTGTATATTTGAATTTGTTATATATATATATTAACGAGATTTTCCTATTTAAAGCTTGATTACTGTTATTTAGTGTTGGAGTCACTGTGGTTTTGAAAACATAAAAAGAACAAGTAACAGCAAAATGAGAAATGAAAATGTGTCTTCTGTACAAGTCAAAATTGAGATAGTGGCAGAGAGATGAATGTGGTCTTGCCACTGACAGAACCTGACAGAACATAAAATGTGAGGAGATATTTTGGTGTGTTATGATGCCTCTTGCTGTTAAAGCCAACAGGTGACTCCATTAATACAGGGCTTTTGACACAGATGCAGGGCAACCCTACTTCTCAGTGATACATTGACAAAGTCCTTGAACCCATAGCTTTCTGTTCCAGCAATCCAACCTAGAAATGTCGATCTTCTAGCATTAAACTCATGTTTTAAAGTACAATTTCAACAGTTTTTTCTTTATGTGCTGTTTTTTGTCTTTTGTCTACAATGCCGGAATTTGTTGTGAGGGGGATTCCCTCCAGGATGTTTTGTCCATGGCAGCATGTTTTTTTCCGGAAATTTCAGGAAAACAATGTGATGGTCTTACCTTGGGCAACTTTTCCAACTGATCTCAAGTTCAATGGAGTGTCTGTGGGACCAACTTGCCAATGTGATGATTAGGAGATATATAAAATTGTGTAAATTGTAAACATATATATCTAAACCTATATCAATTGTTTGAAATGTTCAGATTGGTTAATGTGTATTTCTACAGAATAATAGTAATAATACTGTGTTCACTCCTAAAGACTACAATAACTCAGTTTTGAATCATTGTCTATTCAGATTTTAAATGTGTGCATTCATATGATTTTATTACAATGAAATAATTTAAAAATGTAGTAGAATTTGGTACTTTAGTCCTTTGAGTTGTGTTTCTTCTGTTCTTCTTTCCAAAGCAATGATTTCTACTGGTGTGTCCTTCTGGACAGGAAATTCCTTCTCATTGCAAAGTTGAACTACTGTCACGCAATGAGCATGATTGTCAAAATGAGCAGTTTCTGTAATTATTTCACCATTGAGAAATACAGCTGAAAGTTGGGTGTGTGCCAATACATATCAGGACATCAGTATTTTTATGATTATAATCATTCAGCATTATTGTCATTAATTCTCTTCAAAAGACCTGGGTTTTGATTTCAGTTCCAAAAAGTATTAAGATTGAATGAGTCTGTTCTCCAATGGGTAAGTTTTCAAAAACAGGAGACCCAACTGTATTTTTTGAAAATCTGCTATCCCAAATTTGTCTTTCATATAATAGTACATCTGGAAAACATAACTAAGAAGTCATTAAAATATGTTAGAGTTACTTTTGTTTAGGCAGTTTCATGTAAAGGGTTGCCTGTGCCAAAATCTATCTTGCACTGAAAATCAACACAATAAGTCATCTTTCTGAGAACAAAATGTTGAAAATTAGTTTGTAGAATCTTTGATTGACACACTTTTCTTTGAGATTTTCTTTAACGTGTATTTCTACAGTAGCTCTTTGTACAGTAAATTAAATACTATAGTTACTTAAGCTAATTTAATGTACAGTGAAGCATATAATTAAGTCCTTTAATCAGTTGTCTAATATTTATTTTACTACCTTTAGAAATGTGTATAGTCGATCAGCCTGATCCTTAAATACAGAAATGGCCAGGAACCCTGTTTTTGGAAACTTTTTTGGGTAAAGAACAAAGGAACCCATTATACATTATACAAAGACAAATGTAAGACAAAAAGAGCAAGAGTGCTGTATATTTTTTCAATTTGCTTACAGCAAGGGCCCTCAATATTTAACATCTTTTTGGCTCGGGTTGGGCAGGTTAGCTGATTTGGGCATAGTTTCAGCCTCTGCCTGGTCTCAGAGAGGAAGGTATCTGGGTTGCCTGTTCTTTTACTTGCCTGTGAGAAGAATGGCTCTGATGCCTGTTTCTCTCCTATAATCTGAACTGGTTATGAGTCTGTACAGTCATACCTTTTTTCTGCTCTTCCGAACTATAGCAGCATGAATTTCGATTTAGCCTGATTTAGACCAAATGTTATTAGGAAATGGCAATAGTTAAGATATTACTGAGAATAGTTTTATAACCTCTTCTTACCATAGATTATTGATATCTGCCTTGACTGTATTTTAAAACAAGTTTTATTTCTTCAGGGGTTTAGCTAAAGCTCGAACCATGGCATATTTTGGGGAAGGCAAAGGACCTATTCATATCGATAATGTGAAGTGCTCAGGGACCGAGAGATCCCTTTCTGACTGTATCAAGCAGCCGATTGGGACACATAACTGTCGACACAGTGAGGACGCAGGAGTGATCTGTGACTATGGTGAAGATACAGAGAAGATAAAAGGTGGTGTGTAATTCTAATCAATTCACAGGGACAACAGAGCCTTGAACATTGGAATATGTTTCTAAATAGCATATTACCAAAATTCCAAGGTCAATGATTAATGTAATTATTTCAGTAAAAAAGCAAGGCAAGTTGGAAGCAAAATGCTTTTTTTTTTCTAGGAGGCTATGTATCGTAGCTGTTTGTTAAACTTATTTTGCTGGAAAAATATTTGTCATATTCTATTCAAACCAGATTTTACCGATGTTGGTTAGTTGTAATTTAACTGGCATTTACTCAGAAATTCCACACATTAAAAAAATGCTTTTAAGATTTAACATTTCCCACTTTCAAGTGGAAAACAAATGGTTATCTAAAGATTTGCTGTAGCTTGTGGAGCTTCAGCTTCAAAGAGATTGAAAAAACCTGATCCCTTCTGTGTGGGTGAGATTAAGCAATCATATTTTCCATGTTACAGTCTGCATGAAGTATATATTTTAAGACTTAAAACAGAATAGGATAATGAGTACTCTCATGATGTACAAGACCAAATTAATACATTAATGTATTCTTTTAGCATGGAATACAAATACATTATTTTTCTTAATTTTCCTAGAAAACTCCTCAAGTAAGTATCCAGTGTTTACTTTGGAATGCAATCTGTAGAAATCTCTCCCTGATTTATAAAGTATTACACATTTTTATAGCTATTGCAAGAAATTAGAAAAAAATGTTGAATCCTTAAATACTGTAATTACAATAGTGTAATTACAGTTTCTGTTTAATGTATTCTCTGCATGGTATAAAGCAATTTGCATTTGTCTCGTAGACCATGGTGCTTCAGTTTGTGGCTTGCGATTAGTGCACACCCGCCAGAAGAGGATTATTGGTGGAGAGAATTCCTTAAGGTAAGATGGAAGTTTACAAAATGAAAAATTTATATCAGGATTAATACAACATATCCCCATGTGTATTTTTTTTCCTTTTTCTCACAAATACAATTCAGCTACTATGAAATCAGCATGCATTTACATAACTCCTCATTAGAAGTGGTTGAAAGGAAGCTAGGAAAACCAATTCAAAGCAAGGTTTCATGCACACTTGTCTTTTTTATAAGAAGTAAAGGCATTTGAGATGTCTTCTTGAAACCTTGCTACTTAAAGAAAATTCAAGACATGTATGAAAAGAGGTGTGTTTTGTGATTACATAATTAAATCTGTGCTAACAAAGCTCTGAGTACTTTGGTTAAAATATATGAATAGTTTGTATATACAGTATAAATTATCACAAATTAAATTGCTGTATATAAATAAAAAATAAAAGAACTTATAATATTAAATCAGTTTGGTTAGAATTACAGAACTGAATCTGTGTATTAGGTCAACAAAACCAATTGCACTAGTTTCTGTTCTCATACTTTTAAGTGGCAAGTAATTAGAAGAGAAAACTGAGATCCCTAAGTATACCTCATTGAGAAAACAGCACTGTAGCGGTAGCTGTGTATAGAAATTGAGAAACATTGTGAAGAGAAGGTGAATACAAAGAAAAGCTGAACAGAAATCTAAAAAAACACCTTAAGCTTAGACTTTTCATTCTCTCCCATGTTCTGCACAACTCAAAAAAGTTATCATTAGTTTAGCAAAGTTCAAATTAATGCAACATAGAGACAAAACATATTAAAGGTTTATTTGGTGTTACTCGCTGTGTACTGTATGGGCATACTGTGCCTTTCAGGGGGGGGTGGCCATGGCAGGCTGCCATTCGTCTTCGAAACTCACAAGGAGAAGGGAGGCTTGTGTGCGGAGCCACGCTCATCAGCAGCTGCTGGGTTCTCACTTCAGCCCACTGCTTCAAGAGGTCAGGCTTTCCTTTCGGCTCTCTCAACAGCCCGGCGCATTAGGCTAACTCTATCCTGTCCAAAAAACACCTAGATGAATCAAGGGCAGAGAAGTGGTTATCGCTAATGGTTTTGTTTACAACTTGTAAGAAAAGAAAACTCTTCTGTTCCTTCTTGCAAGACATTGTGCTGTGACTTTCAAAACATACATGACACACAGACGAAACATTATGTTTCCTTTTTTCCTTACCTGTTCTTTTGCAGCCTACTCATGCTGTCGCAGCTCCCTACTTGAACTACTTCATACTACCTTATGTATCTTCAAGTTCAAGTTCAATTTAATTGTCATATATACCTGAGTACAAGTCTTTAAAAAAAGCAAACATTTTCATTAATTTTGTTTTCCTTTGGTTCCTGATTTATAAGAGAGAATAGAAAACGTTAGAACATACTGCCTTCTTGGCTTGAGGTGGTAACATGACATATATGGTGGGTATGTAATAATAAAGTGATTATTTTAGTTAAAAATAGTTGTTATATAATAATAACCAATCAGAGGCAAATAGACAAATAAGTGAATGAGGTCATCAGCCTTGGAGCATGATGAGCTACCTAGTAGTCTCAGTTATGATTTGTTCCTAAGTCACTTGGCCCCAAAATTAATCACAAAGCCAGAGGTACATTCTTCGCTCCCACTTTTCTTAGGTTCCAATATCTGTGTCCGCCCTGGTAAATAAGAAGGCATAATGCATAATCCATAGCTTATACTGCTTACACATTTGCACACAAAAGATTTGGCAAGCTTCATTTTATACACTTTTTATTAAGTGTAATAAATACTTGTTAAATGTTACACAGTTGTTGATACAGTGCCTTGCGAAAGTATTCGGCCCCCTTGAACTTTTCAACCTTTTGCCACATTTCAGGCTTCAAACATAAAGATATAAATTTTTTATTTTAT